TGCGAAACATTATACAGGATCATCATCATCATCGGTAAAGCAGCCATTTTGAGCAACAGATTCCCTTGGAAAATCCTGTCAGGTTTGTCCATTCCTGGGAATTAGCAGATCAGGTTTTCACTTCTGTGGACTTCGCAAATTTCTTTTACACAGCAAGGTCGTCAGCCCTGCGTCTAACCCCCAACCTACAGGACAAGGTCCCCATATTTATGTCCCCGAGGGACAGGGTGGCCCAGTTCTACCTTTCTTCGTTGTCTCCTCTTGCGACTCGTAGGGTAGCGTTGGAGGTATTGTAGCCCACCTCCATGACACAGCTAATGCTTAAGGCGCGTCCACATTACTCGTGCTCGTGTGACTCGCTGTGTTCGCGAGTAATGTGGACGATATGACAAGTCACGAGAGAAGGAAATTTAAAATTTTTAATTTAAAAACTATAGCCAATAAATTAAAATACGACTACAGCCTATACACACTACGAGTAAATATACGGATCCTCACGCGCCGAAGCCTGGCGAGCACGAGCACGAGTAATGTGGACGCGCCTTTAGACTCTACACATGGCACTTACAATTGGAGGACTGATGTTCATGTTTACAAGAGATCGCTGTTGGTTCTCACGCTCATCCGGGCTAATCCAGCCCACACGCTGCCATCCTATTTCTCTGAGATTCAGTTTAATATTATTCTCCGATACACTTCTAGGACAGGAACCGTTATAGCGACGGAATACGGGCTGGACGACCGGGATAAGAATCCAGGCAGGAACAAGAGTTTTTATCCACTTCACAGCCTTCAGACGGACCCTTGGGACCGCCCAGCCTTCTATCAAATGGGTACCAGGGGCTCTTTCCCTTTCACGCCGGGGCGTGAAGCTGACCATTCACGTCCATCTAATGTCGAGGACAAAAAAGTTGACGGCGTACCTCCACTTCCCCATACGTCTTCATGGATTGGAGCTTAGCTAAGTACAAGGAAAACTTTGCGTTTATGCCTAGGACGTCTTCCCTCGGACTTACATACCAAAACTTTGCATGCATTTCTCTTCTATCCCGAGGATGAAACCTGCTCCTTAACGATTTGATCATTCGAATATTATTTGCAGGCGAAATCAAATTATGAAGATCCACATTACGCAGCTACTCGCGTCTTGATCCATCTGCAAGGGATTGAGGAAAATCACGAAAACATCAGCCAGGGTAGTTGATATCCTGGCGGAGAATCGATTCGAGGACCCCAGAACACAAATATACGCCCTCATCAGTAAACCAGACTGCTAACTGGTGTTTTGTGGGGTGCTAAACAACATGGCGGCCATGCGGAACATTTATCAAACTTTCTATTTTATGGAAATAATTAATAAGCCACTGGAGTCGGGAGTCTGATACCGAGGCCTTTGTAAACCGAGCACGAATGGCCTCTATCCGGGTCGATACAGCACTGGCCGACGTGAGAGGTAGACAGAAACAGAGGAACTAATTTGGCCTTCACTGTGATCGCGTTTGTGGCATGCTAGGGACCCCCCCCCCCCTGGAGGCCCATCCGTGAGCGCCGTGTTCCTGCTATTGCGGCCCCTTAATGGGGAAACATCTGAATTCTGTTTCCTGTTTATTACCGCGGACGCAACGCCCAAATATAACAGTGGGATTTAGTCTGTTCTTCTTAACCGGCTGGGCCGATGTAGCTGTTGTGGGGCCTTGCTGCCTCCTGTCCCGCACTTTAACTTTCATTTAAGTCTTTTCCAATTTCTGATACAGATAGTGAAAAATCGCTCCCCGGACGCAGAACGGATATTTCTGCTCGTTCGATTTAAATCACACATGAAGTAAGTAGGAGTCGGTACAGCGACTGGCTGGCCGATCTGGGTTCGATTCCCGTCTGGGGCAAGAGATTTTTTTCTGTCCCACAGCGTTCAGACTGGCTCTGGGATCCACCCAGCCTCCTATCGAATGGGAACCCCCGGGAGTAAAGCGGCTGAGACATGAAGATGACCACTCACATCTAGTTCCGTGGTTAAGAACGGTGGAGTTATACCTCCATTCCACCCTATGTCTTCATGGCGTGGCGCTTAATCAATCACCTTACTTTAACTTGCCCGAAGTAAACAAGTCTCTGTTACGAACAGTTTTCAGGTTCTGATTGGAGTTGTCACGCGGTAAACATTCCGTCCGGGATGGTTTCTCTTTATTTTAGTGTACTTCGGGTTTGTCGGCGTAATCTTCAGCGAGACGGCAGCGGCAGAGTCCACCATGCATCAGTCAATCAATCAATCAATCAATCAATGGTAGTCTTTCACCCGTCACTGTTCGCAAAACTTCGAAGTCTGAACAACAGAGAGGTAGGAACAATAAGTGAAAGGAAGAGTCGAGTCGTGAAGTAAGCCCGGGGGGGGGACATCACTTTCTTTCGAAGGTTCTTAGGCTTCGCCCTCATAACGGAACATAGACAGTCTGAAAAAGAGACAGAGAAATTGGAAGACGTACCAAGCCAATGGTCTGGTAGGCATCAGTTTCGAGCATGGAACTTATCAGGGACCTGAGCGATGCCCATTAGTCTCGGTGTTCATGAAAAAAATTGTTGCTTGACGTTGGTTGTGAAGTTGTGGTCTACTGTGGGAAATGAGAGCAAAATGTTAAAGTCAAAGTTGCTTTATGGCTGCCCAGTTACCGCCAATCAGTTCGTCTTGGCCCCCTGAGACTCGAGATAAGAGATTTCTTTTTCAACTGAACCATTGCGGTAATAGTCCTTATGTAACATCGTCTCTGACGACAGGGTTGGTTTGTCTCATGAATAGGCTTTGCCTTTATTCAAGTGCACGTATCATACTTATAGCAAGTTATTGAAAATTCTTCCAAGTCCTTTGTCAGTACAGGCTTTGCACAGCAGATCATGCCTATCTTACGTATCTTATGTTACAACGGCAGCTTAGTTATTTGAACGGTCGTAAGCTTGACCACCGCCAAGTTTAAGCCTCTTTCAGCAGAATTTTATTCATCTAAATGGCATTTAATAATCCAGTCCGTACCTCACAGGAAACACTCCGTCTCCATAACAACGAATTGTAAAATATTTAATTCAAGCCATTTAAAGCACAGTGCTGTATATGTGTACCACCTGCTTTGGCAGAAAAATATATCTATATATCTTCCTCATAGTGCATTTGTGATTCCCACAATAAACAGCGACCATTTCCGTAACCGGTTGGTAGTTGTTATGGAGACGGAGTGTGTTTCCTGTGAGGTACGGACTGCATTTTATATAATATTTAGATGAAGCTCAGACTTCAAAGGGTTGGCCTGTGGCTACGTTCTAATTGCTCATTAAGTTATGTGGCCCATTAAACGCACGGAATGGTTTCATTCATAAAAATGATTCGCAAAATGACAGACGCTAATGCACTCGCTTTGAATTCTCTGAACGTTCCCGTAGGCTAGCAGATGCACAGACAGAAATAAGGGCAAACTTCCAGAAACTAAGGCAAAGTCGTCAGTGCGGAAAGCCAACAGAACTTTGTCTCCTTTATGTGTGCAGAATATCTCTCTTCAAGAATCCTATAGCGACATGACATGTTGTCACTTAACTTCGTGATATCCTTTGAATACTGCATGTATTATCGTAAGGGTATAAAGCGATTGTCCTGTCATAACTTGGCTTCTCACTGCTGAGTCCCGGCTTCAATCGCAGGGTAATCCTTGTGGGAGTTTTGATGGACCAAATGACATTGTGGCAAGATTATTTTGAACACTTCTACTTTCCCCTGTCAGTTAGAATTCCACCATTGCTCCATACTCATCTATATGCCCCACTTTAGGTCGCAGTACCAAGAGACCCAGAGTGGACCCAATTTGAGTGGCATATATCTACTGTCGTCATCGAGCGTTTGGTACTTGCCGACTAAAATATAAATGTACGTAATCGTCTCCTTCTTGAAAAGCTGGTAGTCGCTCAGCTAGTCAGGAAATTCCATGATTTATTTTTTTGGAAATTGAAGGTTAATTGCCCCCTCCCCCAACCTGCTGAACTCTATCCTGAGCCAGACGAATCCAGTTCATTTGTTGACGTGCAGTATCTTCAGAACCCACCCTGTTGTTAACCTCCCTTCTGCGCCTGAACCTTCAGGATTTCCCGCTAGAATTCTGTGTTTATTTGTCTCCTTTTCTCCTTCCAGTCTTGTCACGTGCTTCGCCCATCTCATCATCCTTTGATTGACTGTACTGAAAATCATGGAGCTGTTCCATTTGTAGTTCTGTCTTGCCACTTGCCGTTTCTCTCCTGTAGTAGGTTCCTCTATGCAGGAGTGGCTGAGCCCCTTTTTCAATAAACCCTTCCCCGAGACAAGAGGCTGAGCTACACACCGACACAAGCGGAAGTCAAATCCTGTTTTTGTACATTTTAATCTTCCAGACGGGAAGACAGGAGACTTGCGGCACAACGGCAGCCAACTGACTCTGCTTTCTAATTTCTTGGCAACCCAATTTTAAGTTATTACCCTTGTTATGAAACATTCGAACTTGTACCACTTTCGAACGATCTATGAGTCGTGTTAAGAGCCGGGATACCTCAGTCGGTATAGAGACTGGCTGCAGCCTGGATGGGAAAGGTTTTGTTGCCGGCAGAGGCAAGTTTCTTTTTTCCACAACGTCCAGACGGACTCTGGGGCCCACCCAGTCTCCTGTCCAACGGGTACCCGGGGCTCTTTCCCCGGGGGTAAATCGTCCGGGGTGTGGAGCTAAGAATTCACCTACACCTAATGCAAAGATCAAGAAAAGTGGAGCTATACCTCCGCTCTCCTATACGTCTTCATGGCATAGTGCTATCCTGAATGAGATTTCTCGTGGTTTTCTTAGTCCCTCCAGTCAACCCCCGAGATAGTAACTGGATTATATCATGATCGCTTCCTTTCAGATCCTTTCCAGTTCATCTGTTATATAGATCGGCGCGGTAACCCACAAATGACCTTGCGCTGGGTTGCAGCTGCACTGCGTTTCCGCTCTCTGTTGCAGAAACTCTGGTTTCAGCACGTCTGGCCCTCTCTGCAGCAGGAAATGAAGACGCAGGAAGTTCTTGCAGCGGTTCTGCAGCCCATCATATTCCTCGTCCAGGAGTGCACCATTGAGGAGTACGAGAATATCATCCTTCCTTCTTTCCGGTAAGCCCCCCGGACCTGCAGCCCCTGTCTTCAGGGTAGAGCATTAGCAAAACAAAGAAACGAGAAGCCATCAAGCGGTACGTATTGTAGCATGTGAACTCGTTGCTATAGTAATAAGACTGCAAACAACGGCCGTCGCTAGGTAATGGCCGTAAACAGCAACACAGGAATGTTGTTCTCTATGCGGTCCGAGCGAAGACCATGTGATGAAACCACAGAAGAACTCTTGGGAGAAGTGTTCTCTATGCGGTCCTTGCCGAGGTGTTACAAGCAGGACGAGTCTAGAATTTAGTTAGTTGTGAGACAGTCGCCAGTCAGCAAGGACGTGAACACGGAAGTTGAGGGAGCTACGCCGTTACCAGGCGACAACCGGTGAAGATACAGTAGACTGAGGAGACTTGGTGCTTGCTGTAGTGAATTTTAGAGTGCTAAAATAGCAATAGCTATGTAGTCACTTGTAGTTAGGAATTGTGTTTAAGGTTTTCAGTAAATCCAATTATCCATCCAAACCCCGTCTATAGTCACACACACGTTACAATACACGCGCACTTCAAATTTTTAATGGCAGAAGAGCAAGTGAATACAGTAATCATTCAGAACTACCGCCCTCAAAATTGTTGTTGATATGAAATGTTCAGTAAGTTTCTATTTTGAAAAATTAATTCTGGAAAATTAATCCTTAATGTGCTCGATGCTCTCTCAGCTAAGTTTTTCTACCCTCAAGATGGAGGCAACAGGTTCTTCGGCAATATCAGTGGACGTTTAGTACACTTATACGGCGTCATATCATAGACGAGGAGGGGCACGCGGTAGTGTAGTTGGTTGAGGCACTATGCTACAAGCTGGAAGGTGTGGGTTCGAATCCCGATGAGGTCGATTTTCTCAATATACCTAATCTTTCCAGCCGCACTATGGCCCTGGGGTCGACTCAGCCTCTAACAGAAATGAGTACCACAAATCTACGTGGGGGTAAAGGGCGGCCGGCGCGTAAGGCTAACAACCTCAACTCCATCTGTGAGCCGACTGCCTAGATAATGTGGGAGCCTCAAGGTCTCACAGCCCTATGGACCTTCACAGCCTGGTACAGGGATAGCTTTACCTTTTTACATTTTTACCACATCATAGACGAGAATGCTCCCTAGCACATGTGACGTCATTATGAGCCCATTCTGTGTGCATTTAAAAAATATTACGCAAAGTGAAGCTTGTGTTTGTTACAGTTGCGCTTCGAACAACAAGCACCCAGTCTTTTGTTTATTGGTTCATTATGCAGCAGTAGATTGCGTTAAATCCTAAATTGAATCCTGTTGTCCTATGACATAGAGGCTAATAGCCGTTGAATGAATTGAAAAGCACGTGCTCTGCTGCGACAATGACGCCAGGGCACATAATGTGTCAAAACATGGACATAACATTATTATTACAAATTTCATTATACAGAGTGATCCATTTAAAACCGCAACCAAGTACATCATACTCTATATGTCAGTAGTCATAAAACATAAATCACTGTTCACAAAACATGCTGGAATTGTCCTCCGTTGTTCTGGAAACATGACCATGTTTTGAGAGACGTGAAGGAGCTCAGACTATGTTTTCCATTAAGATACATTTTTAAATGGATCACCCTGTATATATATGTAAGTATTGCTGTTGCAGGAGCGTGTTCTCTGTGCCCAAGTCGATCCAGGCAACAGTCACTTTGCTGGAGAGTCTGCACGTGATCCTGGAGAAGACGCCCCGAGACGACATTAGGGCAGAGGTGCTGCCCATGCTGTACAACGCGTTTGAGAGCACGACTATACAAGTTCAGGTGCGTTCTGCAAGGGTCTCTTCCCCCGTGTTGTGGGTCCGTCTGTACTACGTAGCACAATTCGGAAAAGTAATTTGGAAGTAGTCTCATGGAAGATCAAGAAGGAGATGGGAGTTAATGTTATGCTGGATCAGGGTTTATGATGAGGTGGTTGTGTCCAGTGCGGTGGTCAGCACATATTCAGAACTCCGTGAAGCAGGAACTTCTGAAGGGGCTGATTTCCTCCCATTTTGTGAAACCAGAAGGTTCGTTTCCTCATTCACAAGAGCGTACCATTGAGCCAGACGAATCCAATCCACATACATCTGTTTCTGATGCATTCCAATATTATCCTCAAAATATACACTTAGGTCTTCAAAGGGATGCGTCACTTTCAGGTTTTCTTAACGGAATTCTTACGCATTTCTGATATATCTCATGCGTGCTATGTGCCCTACCCATCTCAACTTAATTTTATCACTTGTAAAATAAGAGCGATTCAAGGTCCTTGTGTCGACCACTGTGAAGGGTACATTTTTCTGAGACGTGACGCCGTGTAGTTTGGTAGATATGTACTAGCCTTTGGGAGGAACATGCTTCTGCCGGCTTTGGAATTCCCCTGATCAAGGACGCACCAGTTTCTTCCCAGACGTTGGCAAGCATCTACCAGACTACACGGCGTCACATCTCAGAAGACACCACAGGAACCCATATCTGAAGCCTTATAGAACACATCCACTGTATCACAGGGCCTTTGCATAACTAACCATGATATGATGCAGCACTACTCTCCAGAACATGGCATCATAAAATCTGGTAGAAGCTTATGACGTTTCGGTGGTATGTACTGCCACCGTCTTCAGGACCAAAAAGTAACCATCAGGCTTGAATTTGCTGGTTGCTTCGGCTTACTTTTTGATCTCGAAGATAGTAGGGGAGTACATTCCTCCTAAACCAGACTTGATGGAGTCACATCACAGAAAATAGTGCCCTTCATGGACACCTGTAAGTGTCCACTTTATCTGGATCGAAATCTCCACAGATTGGAGAAGTGGCGAGGATAATACATGACGGGGGGGGGGNAGAGAGACGGTGTTTCTTCTAACGAACACTGCGCCTCCCCCTCCCCCCACACTTTGTTGTAGTTTGGAGGAGGACGTACTGAACAGGGAAGTGCTTTATCGGCCAACAAGTTTTGGCATATACAAAGCATTATGGCGGCGTGGGCTATTTACGTGCTCAGTGCTAGCAGCGGAGTTTGTCACGAAATGCAATTATCTGATCGTTGTCTGCGTCCCACGCCCCATTACCTGATCCTAAACAGCTCCTGTATTGAGGGGGACAGGCTGGGAGCAGATGCGAACACCCCAGTCTGTCACCAGGAGGAGCTCTTAGAGATGAAGTCTGAAGTTTATGTACGCGTGAGGCTCAAATATGCGTTTTAAATATTCTCTGTAACTTCCTTTTTCCAGATCATTACGGACACGCGGTGGCGTAGGTGGTTGAGGCACTATGCTACAAGCCCGAAGTCGCGGGTTCGATTCCTGTTGAGGTCACTAGAATGTTCAATTGGACAGCCGCACTATGGCCCTGGGGTTCACTCAGCCTCTAACAGAAATGAGTACCATGAATCTTCCTGGGGGTAAAGGGCGGCCGGTGCGTAAGGCTGACAACCTGACCGCCACCCGTGAGACTATTCTCTAGAGAAAATGTGGGAGCCTCGACGTCTCACAACCCTATGGGCCTCCACGGCCTCTTACAGGGATAGCTTTACATTTTTTATTTACCTGTAACCTTTGTTCGGAACGTTATTTAGTTAGTTAGTCCGTTAGTTAGGGCCATGCCATAACTCAGGCGGTCAGTCGCCGGGTTCCCACTACGGCGACCCGGGTTCGATCCCACGTCAAATTATGTGGGATTTGTGGTGAACATAGTGGCATGTGGGCCGGTTTTCTCCTAGTACTTCAGTTTCCCCTGCCAATTCTCATTCCACCAAATACTGCATACACATCTATCATCCAGAGCTGGTACAATAGGCCAAAGAGTGGCCAACGTACCAAGTGGACTCAGTCTCACCTCGCCCAACGAAATAAAAAAAATAGTTAATTATTCAGTCAGTCAGTCAGTCAGTCAGTCAGTCAGTAAGTTGACCTATCTGTTTGTTGCACCGACAGAGCGCAGCACTAGTCGCTGTGACCAACGTTGCCGAGTACCTGGACGAGACAGCCATCCGACGAATGGTGCTTCCCAAGACGAAAGCCGTGTACGAGAAGAACACGGGTGACCTGAAAATCGTGCTGAACGTGCTCTCCTGCGTGGAGAAGACGCTGGACCGCTTGGACAAGCCTCAGATCATTGATGAGGTGCTCCCCCTGCTCTGGGACGTGAGGCTGCAGGACCCGGAGGTCACGCTCAGGGTTGTAAGTAAGTGCCTCTCTTTGCTTAACAACTGCACGGCACACTGACAGAGGGTCCACTCTGCATGCACAGGAATGGCTTCTCTTGGTTGCCTTTACGTTCTTTGAAGGTCTCTCTACTCCTTGCTGATTCTGACTTGGTTTGCCCTTTCACCCTGAAGATGGAGACAGTATGTTGTATGTATTAATGGGCCATAGTAATCTGGCCCTCGCACTGTGATGTGCTTCCCCTTTTATTAATCCTACACTTTGGATGAAATGTAGGACCCTATTTACGGGAGCGTCATAATAGTCACTTGGTTCCATGAAGAACTGTCCCAGGTGAGAAAATCTTAAACAGGCTATGGGCCTCACAGTCACATAGGTTATGTGTGGCTTATTCAAGACAGGATGTATCTCCGAAACGTCGACGAACTGTGGCCTGCCTACGTAGCTTGACATACCAAAGGACTGTTCTGTTCTCAAACTGAAAGATTTATTTATTTTTCATTTCTGAATTCCTTGAGGATGGAACTGAAGGTTTTCGAACTCTCCCCTTACTGAAATTCAGTTGCATAACTTCCGAAGGACTCTTTGTATCAAGCCGTTTCCTTCTGTTCATGCAAAACAAGTGGGGGGGGGGCAAGCTCTCAGTTCTATCAGATGCCGACATTAAGTACGTCTGGGACCATTCTTCAAGTCCCCCATAACACTTCATGGCATGGTGCTTAATTAACCACAAGGAGAACTTCACGCTATACTCCTTTCTTTAATTATTTAATTTTTTATTGTTTTTGTACAGCGCTACAAGCCGGAAGGCCTCGGGTTCCATTCCCAATGAGGTCATTAATTTTTTAAATTGACCTAATTCTTCCAGCCGAAATATGGCCCTGGGGTCGGCTCAGCCTCTAACAGAAATGAGTACCAGGAATCTTCCCGGGGTAAAGGGCGGCCGGCTGGCGCTTAAGGCTGGAAACTCATCGCCATGTGTGAGCCACTTGTCTAGAAAATGTGGGAGCCTCGACGTCGCTCAACCCTGTGGGCATTCATGGCCTGTTACAGGGGTAGATTTACCCTTATCTGTTTCAGCATTTTCCTCGATTTGACTTTCATATCATCTTCGCCACACTTGCAATGATGCTGTGTTCATAAAGTATACCAAAAGACCTTGCTGTAGGAATGAATGTTGTGACACCAGGGTGCTCGCAGTGACACTGACTGCAGGTCTGTGCACACAAGTTCTATAAATACACGTAATCAGTTTCATTAGCAGTGTTGACTTCTCCAGAAATAGCGGTCCAGACAGAGTACAATTTCGTGTTAATCCAGTTGATTAAGAGCGAGACACCCCGCTCCACGCCTGATCACGTGATACCGTTGCACGGGGTCTCATTACAGCGGCTTTCAGCGCTTAATCAAAACACTTGTAACAGGTCAGGCCCTCACGTGAGGAGGGTGGCGTTCTGCTCTCTATCTTGAGGTCCTGAGTTGAAATCTCCACCCACAGACCGACGATTTTAGCTCAGGCTTTTCTACGTTTTCTTCAGTCCCTCCAGGCAGATGTATGGATAGAACTATAAAATGGGTCAAGGCCACTTCCTTTCATTGCATTTCATTCCACTGATCCTCCTGTAACTTGACGTCATATTATCCGAGGACCTGTCAGCGTCATTAAATAAGCAACGAAGTGATAGTTGGGTACACTCGATTGGGTAATATGGAAGTGTGTGGAAATCAGTATTTTGCTCTTTAAAATAAAAAAAAAGTCTGTATTCTCGCCACACGATGTATTTTCATATTTCGTATTTTTTTTTCAAATATAGAGCGATGATTTCCCTAAACAACATTAGCCAGCTGCTCTGCGTAATCGAGACTTGAGGTAGAAACTGAATTTTAAAATATTTTCACATGATTGAATGTGACTAGAGACGAGGTTTTTGTCTGTAATCGGATTTATTGACCACTTACGGATCGTAACTACAAATAACTACGACAGTCTCACTGAGTTACACACCAAAGATCAGTGTAACTGCAGTCTTCACTAGTCGTTGTTTGGTAGTGGCTTCCAATGGCGGACGTTCCGCTTCCTCTGGGTTCCCGAACTGTCCCCGGCCGCAGTTACTACCTCCTCACTTCACAAAACTGTAACCCTGCACTGACTCAAACAACTCAAAATCAAAGTCAGAGTTATTTTACGACTGGCTGTTTACAGCCAATCGCTTTATCTTGGCGTCAAGCCCCTTGAGACCCTCGAACAGGGTTTTTTTTCTCAACTGAACCTTTGCGGTAATAGTCCTTATATAACATCCTCTCTGACGAGAAAATGGGTTAGTCACTTATGAATGTGCGAAGCCAGCATCTAACATCCTGAACTATAGCACGGCGAAATAGCATTCCTTATTATTTTTGTTACCTACAAATTATAATACGAACCTTCCCTGAAACTGGACACTTTCTGATAATTATCAGAATTATAATTTGCGTCTTAATTGTTAAATGAAACATGAGTGAAAGACAATGGATTCATCCGTTTTTAATCGGCTTCTTGAATATTAGGCCATAACGTAGTTTCAGATTAGCGACGACTGATTCACTTCTCTGCCACAAGAATGCAGGACGAGATGGATGCCGCTGTAGAGAAACTAGAAACGGTACCTTTTTTGTTTCCTGCAAATTAACGTCATTCCCCCAAAGGGTTGAACACTGTGACTATGTGACTCAGAATGGGCTAGCTAAAATTTTGGCCAAAGGAATGTGTCCTCATGTCCCTCGTTATTACATTTAACAACACGCTTATATCTGCAATAATGGATAAAACATTCCCTGTACACTATAGAGCCATCTGTGGAGAGATGTTAAAACTAACTGTTGAACACAGAACCTAATTTCATGTGGTGAATTTGGAGTGTTGTACTACGAAATAAGATATGTCGTGAAATAATGGCTAACATTTACCCTTAGTGTTAGATTGAAGATGGGGTGGAAGAGAGAGGGTGAAAGTTATTAGGGTGAAACTTGTGTTACGTGAAACAGCACCGTTCCATTCTATTCACCTCGTGTAATTACCATGCCTTCTCTCGAGAGCCATTAGCATTGGAAAGGGTTGACACAGACGGCGGCAACAAAACGATCATTTGTGATCAGGTCTGCCTACTGCGTTCTGTAACATGGATGAGTTTGAAACTTGCGAGATTGCCTTAACAGACTAGACGTGAACCCCAGCCACTGGGTCGTAATACAACTAAATTAATGCAACAGAGAAGCAGAAGTACCCAGTTCTTCCCCTAGATGCCCCAAATGTCATTCAATTTCCTCCCAGTAACACAGTTCATACCAGCTAAAACTTTAAGGAAGGCGCAACACTCAAGAAATTACTACAAGTTTTATCTATGAAAAAAAAAGAAAAAAAAAGATTTGGAATGAGGATTCTAGTTGCATCCAGAAACTCTACTGCAACACTTGAACATCACTTTAACAAGTGTGACTGCCGTACATATTAGTAAGATTACAGAGTGAATTTTATAATAGAGGGGGTTTTCTATTGGGTCCGCGGTAGGAAATAGGAAAGTTGCGTTTCTAGGCATGTTTGCATTCCTGCAGAGACACTGCCAGTCTCTCTGTGCACATGTAAGGACTTGAGATCTACTGCACGGATTTTCATGAAGTTTGATACAGGAGAATATAATTAAAAGCGTTGACACGTCCCAATTTGCTTAAAATCGGACGACGATAACGGACACTTCACATGAGTTCTTGCTCGCAACTGGAGCTTAACTCGCTAAATATTTATCTGAGCGAAGAAGTGTTTCGGACAAAACTTGTAGGCGGAAATGAAACATCCAATCCTATCAAATAAATGTTCCCTAAATTTTATGTTTTTGGAGATAATTGAACAAAGCCGAGGTAACGCTTACGAATTGTTACTACACGCGGCTATGCACGTTATACGTACTGGGAATAGCGTCTACGTTACCATGGTTACTGTGCACAAAGGAAGATATGGCCTCAGCGTACAAATACTGAAATCTTGGATTATTCTCAGATGGCAGCAGGAGCTGAGTGCTTCTCCCCTGAGGCAGCTGTACGCGCCATGAATGGCCTCAGAACAGCAACGCGCACCGGGCATTTGGAACCCAAGTGTGTGTCCCTCTAATGGGAATCTTGTGTGGACTTGCAAGCATCTAATTACACTCTCTGCGCCGCCATGTTGCCCCCATTTCCGCTGCGACTGAAAGCAAAACAGCGGGAGTAGAAATCTGTAGATTTGCATGTAAACATTTTCCTTGTTCCGCCTCTTCCCTGTTGGTCGGATTCCCGTAAGAATTAAACATGTAGGCAGTCGGTTGGACTCCTTGGTCGGGGGATCAGTCATGTCGCAAGGCCGCCACCTACACACAGGACAACATAAATACAGACGAAACGCGGATAGATATACATGCATCGAGTGCGATTCGAACCCACACCCAAAAGAACTCCTTGTATTAGGGCACATGCAAATAATATTTTGTAAAGCGATGAGTTCACTGGATTCTTCAATTCACGTAATCCTTCCAGCCGCACTATGGCCCTGGGGTCGACTCAGCTTCTAACAGAAATGAGTACCAGGAATGTTCCTGGGGGTAAAGGGTGGCCTGCACGTAAGGCTGATAACCTTACCGCCGTAAGCGAGCCGACTGTCTAGAAAATGTGGGAGCCTCGACGTCTCACAACCCTAAGGGCCTCCACGGCCTGTTACAGGAATAGCTTTACTTCTTTTTTACCTTTTTTATATTATGAGCCTGTGGGCATGACACTCTAAGGGAAGGGTGCTGGGGACCGAGTGCTGCGTTCAGAACCAGGGCCTGCGAGGGAGGATGTGACACGAAGACGGAGAAAATATAGTGAGGAGGTCCATGATACGCACTGTTCATCATATATTATTAGCGTGATCAGAAATGCGTACAAAATTTTTGTAGCGAAGTATGAAAGGACGCGGATAACGGTATAATATTAAAACGGATCTCTAACTTACAGTTTGTGAAGCTGTGGATAGGAGCCCCGATGGTGGCATGAAACTAGTCACATCACATCACAACACTTCACAGAGCGAACACACTGAAGGGCCGGGCAGGTTGGCCTGGCGGTAACGTTTTGTATTCATATTCAGAAGGAGGCAGGTTAGAAACTTGTCCGCGACACCGTCTATTCTGGTTGGGGGGGTTGTCACCAAGATTACCTGATTCGTGATTTATTTAACAACGATGTTTCAGATATCTAAGTTTTTCTACCCTAGCAGTTGCGCATGGCGGTAAATATACTGCTATTTGGGCGATTCCGGGTTCAAATCTCGGTTAGGACACCTATCCTGATTTGAGGTTTCTCATGGTTTTTCTCGGTCTCTCCAGAAAAATACCAATATAGTAGCCTAGTAGGGACACCGAAGCAACCTTCCAAATCCTTTCCAATTCATCTGTCACTCTACCATCTGCAGCTGCTGACAGTGTCTTACCTACTTCACGACCCAGATGATGTGTTTTATGTAACGACGATTGGTCATTTATGGCTTTGAAAAGTATGTGTAGGGAAGTGGCCGTCGTCTGTTTTGCTTCACCAAATTTAAGGCCTGAAGAAAACAAAGAGAACTCGTTGACCTCTTTGTGGGCTGCAGCAGAGCGCCTGACCGCCCCAAATTTAGATCGGGAAGAGTAGCCATTTACAGAGACGTTCAGTGACAAGTCCTAAATCTGTGTTACATATATCACGTAAAAGTAACACAAATTTAGCAGGGATTCTGATGTAAACAGACACCTTGGAGTCAATCACAGTGGGCGCGCGGTTCGTTCGAACGCTGGGATCGTGGGTTCGAATCCCACTCAAGGCATGGAGGTGTTTGTGTTGTCGTGTGTGTAGGTAACGGCCTTGCGACGGGCTGATCACTCCTCCAAGAATCCTACCGTCTGTGTTAAAAAGATTACGAAACTGAAGAAAGGCAGATCCTGTGTCCTCATGTGTTTCCACCTACAGTTACACCCTGTTTCTGTGCAGATATCTACAGATTGATGCTGAGTGACAAGAAATACGGCTTGTCTGTGAACCTGATGGCAACCCGAGTGATGCCGTCCTTGTTACCACAGACTGTGAACCCTTCCCTCAACCTGGAGCAGTTCACAAACCTCCTGGAGGTGCTTCAAGAAATGCTTGATCACATAGACAGGTACATGAGGCATTACTTACTTAATAAAACTGGTGTAGATTGGTTAAGGAAATCAGAATTGATTTGGGCCTTTGGGCAAGTTGTGGCCACTAGAGGCCATCAGTGTTTATGTAGGTTGGTATCCCTCACCTGGCATGTATTTCCTGTTGAGGACCTGACAGAGAACACTGAGAGATACCGTGAAAGTTACTCTGTACAATATGTACGGTGGCCATGACTGTTAAAGCTATATGCAAGTATTGCAGTAGAACTTTGGGATGAGATTTGATTCCTCATGCCAAATATTTTTTGTTGCATAATTAAATTTCAGTGTCTTAATTAGGATGTAGATCCTTCTCTGTAGTTTTAACTGCTTTCTGTTGTGTAAGCCAATCACAGTGACCGCGCGGTCTAAGGCATGAACATCTTTGCCCGCTTGAACATCGGGATCATAGGTTCAAATCCCATTCAAGGTATTGATGTTTATGTGCGTTATTTCATGTTTATGTTGTTGTGTGTGTAGGTAGGGGCCTTGGGACAGGCTGATCTCCTGCCAAAGGCGTCAAACCGACGGTGTATAGGGTTAAGAAACTGAAAAATCGGCCAAGGACCACAAAGGCTGTAGAGTCATAGATAGATGGGTAGGTAGGTAGGTAGGAAGGAGACAGACAGACAGACAGACATATTGTGTAATTGAGAAGGAAGGAAATAAAAAAAACACCTTACATGGAAGTCATGCCCGTCTTTCTGTCTGTGTCCTAATATCAGCACCTCAACTGCCAGCCAGATTTTATTTTAATTCAGGAAAGGGGACTTTCAGTAAAACTATTGGACAATTTCAATATTCAATTGTAACGATCTACACTCAAGCATAGTTTACAGAAAGCCATAAATGGAGTTCCCCATGTAGCTCATAAACTGTTCTGTATATCTCGTTGAAATCTCTTATGAGCTGGAAAATATCCTTTCCTATATTATCAGAATGTTGTTGCATGAACTCGAGGCTGCAGAGCTTCTAGCATATGCATACTTAAACATGTTTATGCAGGAACCAGAGGAACAAACTGAAGCTTGACAATCTGTCCCTGCCAAGCCCTGAACGGCATCGTCCGCTGAGGCATCAGTACAGTTCTGACAACATGCATGTCCCGCCCTTCAACATCCCTAATCTGCGTATTGAGCAGCGTAAAACATCTAGTGCAGAGGATATGGCCCGCAAGAATTCTGCAGGTAAGTATCACAGTTTCAGAAATTATGTAGCTCTTTCAAAGGTTTTTCAGTTGTTGTAAAATATAAATGTGTTACTGACAACGTCTTTATTGAGTTCTAAATTATTTCCATATGTGTTGTTGATTTGAAGTGAATTTAACAACACTGCTTATATTGGTGAAGTCAGTCAGTGTTAGGATGGCTAGTGTGGTAATGTAGGAAATGGATTCCATGCTGTGATTAGATTGGGCAGAGGCCAGAAAGATTGACACAAACTGAACCTGGAGGGCACCAAACACAAAACAACAACAAGAAATTTTGTAGCAAAGTATCAGTTGTGTCAAATTAAGATTTGAAGCCTGCAGTAATAACCTTCATTTATTTTTAAATGTTGTTAACTCTGTACATGCTGAGTTTCTTTTGGTTAGTTCAGAACACAGAAGTGTTAATTTATGTATATGCAAGTCTGTAACATATTTCTGTATCTGCAAGAATGGTGAATTTTTCACCGAAACTGGGTATAATGTTCTCTGTTACTTTTGATTTCTTTAGGATATTGTATCCTGTTCTGTTGTTGCTGTACCTACTTTCATATGTTTACACTCTCACTAGATGTCAATACAACATTTAGTTTCTTGTGATTTATTCAGACATCACAACTGGATGTCTTCATATGTGATATTTGTGTTTGTCTGGTTGTGTCTGTGTTACAGTGTGAGCTCATTCCTGTGTGCTTGAATACTGAGACTTCTTTAAGTATAAACTGACAGACTCTATACTACTGACTGAGGTTATTGCTGCATTAAAATTCTCTGGGGTGATATTGGGAACTTCTATACATCAAATTTGATGAGAAAACAAATGTTTTATAGAAAATCACTCTCTCCAGAAATAATTTTGATTCATAAATTCACCATGAAAGCTTTAAATATTTCACAGGCATTAATGATACTGAGGCTATTTCTGTCCATCTGTCTATTTGCATGCGTCATGTCTATTAATGCTGAATAGATTTCAATGAAATACAATTTTTGAGGCTCAAACTAGAAATTGTAAGTCAAATTTAATTTTGGTCTGTATCAGAACTGTTGAGAAGAAACTAATTTAACGGAACCTTATGAAGGAATATGAATGGAAATAAACATTGATTAGATAGAAACCATTATTATTTCAAGGACTGATATCTGAATAAAAGTTAATAACACAACTGTTAAAGATGCCAGCAAATTTATTTATCTGCAGAGTGAAATGTCTATGTATAATGCAGTCCATTTTCTTCCTCTTACACTTTTAACACTTTAAACACAACATGTTTTGTCCCTAGATGGCCATCTTCAGGTGTCTTAATATATTAAAACTGCTACACTGCATTAAGACACCTGAAGATGGCCATCTAGGGCCAAAACATGTTCTGTTTAAAGTGTTAAAAGTGTAAGTGGAAGAAAAAAGAAACAGTTTATTGCATTATTGATGGACTGTATTATACAAGGTCCGAATAAAAAGTATCGGGAAAATCTTTCCCTTACTTGACTGTACACGGCAGCACGCTCGCACCGCGCAAGCATCTTAGTGGGGGTCTAACCTTTAACACGCGCCAAGCACCATTCGCCTGAGCGCGTTCGTAGAGGCCAGGCCGTGTTTTCAGTGGACGCCTGTCGAGTGAGTCGGTGCAAGCGCAGAATGCAGCGAACGATTGAACAGAGGTACGCCATCAAGTTTTATGTTGGACTGGGGAAATCGGGTACGGAGACGTTGGGCATGATTCGCCAAGTGTTCAAGGATGAAAGCATGTCACAAACTGCAGTTTTTAAGTGGCACAAGCTCTTCAAAAGAGGCCGACAGAGTGTGGAGGATGAGCCCCGCGGTGGACGGCAGTCGACGTCAAGAACCGACGACAACGTGCAACGTGTGCGTGACGTACTCAATTCAGACCGTCGGTTAAGTGTGCGCATGATTGCAGATCGTGTTGGCATTGATAAGATGACGGTGCACACCATTATCACTGAAGATTTGGCGATGCGAAAGGTCTGCGCGAAACTCGTCCCGAAGGTCTTGACGGACGACCAAAAGCAGAGACGAGTGGCTGCTTGCGAAGACCTTCTGCAACGCGTTGAGGAAGACCCCGGCTTTCTGGACAACGTCATCACGGAAGACGAAAGTTGGATATTCGAGTACGACCCGGAAAGAAAGCGTCAAAGTTCCGAATGGCACACTTCGGCATCACCTCGTCCAAAAAAGGCGCGAATGAGCAAATCCAGAATGAAAACCATGCTCATCGTTTTCTTCGACGCCCAGGGGGTGGTCCATTACGAATTTGTACCTGAGGGGCGAACAGTGAATGGAGCTTTTTACCTGGAAGTGCTAAGAAGAATGAAGAGAAGGGTCAATCGGGTGAGGCCAGCCATCGCCGGAAATTGGAAATTGCATCACGACAATGCACCCAGTCACACCTGCTCCAAGGTCACCGACAACCTGACAAAAAACGGCATCGCGACAGTACCCCAACCCCCCTACAGTCCCGACTTGGCACCAGCAGACTTTTTTCCTGTTTCCGAAAGTGAAATCCTCCCTCAAAGGGCACCATCATGGGACCCTGAGTGCCGTCAAAGAGGCTTGCACGCGGACCCTTAAGGACCTTCCGGAATCCGCCTACCAGGGAGCCTTCGTGTTGTGGCAACGCCGTTGACAAAAGTGTATCGATGCACAAGGGATGTATTTTGAAGAATTTTGAGGCATTGTAGCAGTATCTGAAGTAAATCTATTTTCCCAGAACTTTTCCCGATACTTTTTATACGGACCTTGTATATGAATGTTTTAGTATGGCTTGCAACAGGATGCTTAAATACAGAACTACAAACTGGAGCATGAAATTCAGGGGGAAAATTAACAGAGAAATCAATAAAAGAAGAAGAAGATGACAACTGGTTGGTTCAGTCAATGAACTACTACACATGAAACTAAAATTGGACTTAATATAATGTCAGATACTGGCCATTTGTGCAGACAAACCTGGATGACATGCAACATAGACTTTATTAAGAAACTTAAATTTTGTTTCAAATGTTTGCAATTTGTTTGCATTTAATGAAATATGATGAAGAACTTCTGTATGCATTGAAATATCCCTATTTATTTGGTTTGTCAATAATGAACTCCTATCTATAATTAAATGAACATCACATTTCTAGGCAGTGAGACCCGACTGTCTGTTTCTCGCTCACTCTCTCTCTCTCCTTCTCTCATCTGATTCATGTACTGTATATCACACTGCATCCAGCTGTGTCAAATTGCATGATATTAATCAGTTTATTACAAGTTGAGATCTCATCTGAAATGAAAGGAGAAACCTTTCACTGTAAAGTCAGAAATTAAATTATTTGTAGTCATAATTACATCAGTAGCAATTTAATTTGCTAGCACTGATTTATCTATTTTATTGCAGTCTTCTCTTAACAAATTCAGTAACTACATAAATTTGTTTTCTCTGTTTTGTTTCCATCCGTAACTGTTTGTGCATATAGATAGATGACTGGATTCATTGCTTCTCTGCAGGCTGTGTTATCCAGATTATAAAAGTCCACAGAAAAATAATTATGGAACATCATGTCCATTCAATAGGATGAATGCCCCAATTTCATGTCATATCTTATTTCTCGGTATGGAATAACTATTTTCCTATGAATGAGGTGTCCTGTTTCACAGTCAGGTTAACAATCCTCCATTATGAAGGACAAAACTAGAGTGTCACTCCACCTTAGTTGGTATACTGACCAAAGTATGGGCTGGGAAACAGACGAATCTGGGTTCGAGTCCAGCATCTAGATCAAGTCTAGGGCCTATCCAGCTTTCTGTGCATGGAGTATGAAAACTTCTTTCTCTGCAGATGGCGCAGCCAGAGCATGAAGGTGACCCTTCTTGTCCATCTACTGCCAATATTAAGAATGAATGTATATGTACCTCCACTCCCCAATATACCTTCATGGCTTGGTGCTTGTTTACGCACAGACACAACATTACCATTTTACTCGATGCTATGTATTCTGAAATACTGACAGATAGACCACAAAATTACCATTTTACCTTTAATATGAGATGAGTTGTGTCACAAAATTGGGTACGTTTAATTTATTTTGACTTTGTGTACATTAAGCATCGAATTGTGTATATTATATTTCAGATAAGGGCCCTAGACATGTCAGATGTGCAACTGGGCATGTTGTCCATGTACCAGTCAGTATAAGCATGTTTCAAAATTCCATGGAACTTGTTTCTCTTCCTGATCCGCAGCACCATACATACTGCTCCTGTAGCAATACACATGTGTTGTGGTCCAGTGGTTAGCATGCCTCATTCAAACTTGGGAGATGCTGAGTTCGAATTTTGATCCAGAGACCAGCTGATCAGCGGTTTCTGTGATATTCATCTCTTCCTCCAGGAAAATGCTGTAGATAAAACTCTAAAAAGGAAATAACATTCAAATTAAGAAATTAAAATTTACTAATGTGATTCAAGAAATAACTGCTAATGAGGATTCAAATTGCATCCAAAAACCCATCATAATTTTTGTACACCGCTTTAACAGCTGTGACTACCGTACATATTGGCAAGAGTGCTGAGTTAATTTCATTTGGGTGTTTTAGGTTAGGCATTCGTTGGGAAACGAAACAGACAGAAAAATTCCATTTTCCTGTAGCCTCTACTATATTTGTATGTGTGTGTGTGTGTGTGAGAGAGAGAGAGACAGAGAGACACACTTGCTGATTCCTGTATGTAGGTCTCTTTACATTTATGTTTTCTGGAAAATAATTGTGATAGATTTTATTTCCCGCTGCATGACTCCAAATTGAAATGTGATGGGAAGAGCATATTTCATTGTGTTCCTTCCACATGCTGGCTGAGCTCATTGGCAGCCAAATGCCTCCCAAACCATTTCCAGCTCCAGATTATCCAATTGGTTTCTTTAAACAACCTGTTGTCTCTTATATTCTAGGCTGCATTAGGTGATTCATCCTACAATTTGAAACGTGAAGTGAAATATTCAGGCTTCAAAATTTGAGTTTTGGTTTCAGTACTTATTTCCTTCTCCTTAGTTCAAGTTTTACTTGAATGATGGAGTTTTGGAAGTGGGTGAGTATGCTAGTCTGAATTTGGCAAATCAAAATGTGAGACCTGCCATTGCAGTATTAGTGAACATTTTTCTGGAATTTCGTGTGATCTGGGGGTTGCTTGGGCGCTCCACTCATCCCAGTCTTGTTGTCGTAACTCTGGTGAATGTGAGTAACAATGCCCCAAATGCAACAGATTCTGGCGTCTTAGGAGGTTGGTGGTTTGGTGCGTCGCCATCGTCTCCTGACAGCAACTTCTTGAGAGTGCACAATGCTTTCCCAAACCGACGTCTCTCTGATAACGCCCTCATGATGCCCCCCAAAATCCGCATTGCTCCATCTTGTGCCTCCTCTCCGGGTGGTACTCCAGGAGGCGGAGGGCTTCCCATCAGACGACACTCCAGCATTGGGCCCCAGGAACGCCGTGGGTCCACTGTCAACCTCTCACCTCCAACGGTAAGCATGATCCTACTCTACCACTCATTGCTCTGCTTGCCACTTAATTTGAATGAAGAGGTTAGAGAGAAAGCAACTTTTATATAACAGCATCCAGACTAACCAATTCTTCCACCAGGGCATAGCTGCTTTCCTTGTCAGTATCACAATATATAGTAGCTAAAACTTTAAGAGGGGATGACAGAACAAGAAATTAAATTGTTCTCATGCAATCAAGAGATTCCAATTGCAACCAGAAAACTGCAGCAACACTTGCATGTCACTTTGATGGCTATAGTAGCATACACATGGACAGGAGTACATAGCAAATTCCATAATATCCTTGGCTGTCTGCAGTAGGAAACAGAACACTTATATTTTATATATGTATATTACATGTAGATACAAACCACTAGAACAGCAAAAATATATTCATATTTGAACTGATTTCAATCGAAATAAAGGTTGTTTCAAATTAGTATTACAAAGTAATATTTAGTTTAAAGCTGTGTCTGTTATTCAGATATGCTCACTTCTATAAGTCACTTCTAGCATTCCTACAATTTCCCATTGCTGCCAAAACTAAATTTTTAGCCCCAAAGAACCTATAATTTGCATGATCTATCAGGGTAGCCTGTTTCCAGCAGAGGCTGTTCTTCAGTTCTGTAGGTAAAGTCAGTGTAAGCAAGTACAAGTAACTGACAGTAATTTGAGGTGAAAATACTGATTGCTCTTCTTACACATTGCCAATCCTCCAGATGTTTATCAGCATGTCTAAGTCAGGCAGTACACATAAGTGATTTGCTGTTCTGATCCAAGAGCACTTGGTTAACTTGCAGTGACATTAATGAACTTGGCCAGCCCCTGTGCCATCGTACTGCTCATGCAGCAAACCTAAACCCCTGTGCCATAAGAGCCACCAAATTTCTCTCTAAATTAGGCAACCCACAATTATTCAGGTATTCCATCATGTTCTTACGTTTTATGTACAGAATATTAGGGCATGAAATAAGGTCTGGACTTATGGAGACTAGACCGAATCCATGTCCATGCTAAAGCCTCCCAGATTCGGAAAATCAATGTTCCATTTTTGCCTGTAATGAGGGGAGCTTTGATCTCATGCACCTGCTCAGTTCGCTTCACACTGCGAACTGCCTTCTGCATGACGAAGTAGAATTAATGAGCACCTCTCGATTGTGAGATGATTGTTTGCTTTATAGCAAAAATGGAAGTTGTGCAACAGAAGCAGTTAATATCTGTGACTGACACTTCTAGCAGCCTTCAGTGTCGGTATGATGAAAAGATAATAGTCTAGAACTCTTTCTGAACAACATCTTTTAATTACGGGCTGATTCTTTTGATAGAATGTGTAATCGTAAGTAGTGTTCATTTATATCCCAACATAACTGACTTCTAGAGTATCAGATTTATTTAAAAAATTCTCCCTGTCAAAACATGAGAGTAACAATTTAACATTCTTTTTAATTGCCAGGTTTTATATAAGATTTGAGGTTCTTATGGCAGTGAATGTGCAGGCTGTGATCATGGGGCAGTGACGTTGTCTTGTCTGGTAGGGTTATCGATGTTTCACAGGGATATACCGCCTAATCTTCATGGTACAAGAAATGATCCAAGTGGGACAGAAAATTGTGGGGGGGTTGTGGTCCTGTGAGCGCTTTTTATCAGATGGTGAAAATAAGGAAGGAGTTAGAAAGCGTTATTTCAGTGAGAGAGACAACATCACTTTATTATAACATTCCCAGGCTTCCCTGTTTGCCCATCTGAAAATGATATAAATAATATTTAAAAAAAATGAATTCATACTTCAAAAAGTTACAATTACAGAAACCAATCAGTTAATGAATTTTAGAGGAATAATTGTTGTTTGCTGTGACAGTTGTGTATAGCGTATAACTACACTGTGTGGTCAGAGTTTCTATATGTTAAAGCAGGTGGTAGTTATGGTTACCGCTGTGCTTTAAAGGTTAAATCCATGACTACAAAATATTACACTGTGCACCAAACTGTTAAAATAGCTGTGCAATGTTTCACAAGCACCTTCATTAAATCCAGTCTAGATCCAGTTACAACTTAAACATTTCTGTGTTGAAATTATTCACAGTGGACTGCAGCACAAATATTTGCCTGTGTTCGTATGATCATTAACTGACATGTAGCTCCCACACCTGTAAACAAGAGCAATGGAATGTATTGCTAAACCAAACAGTGAGAAGAGACACACATTGTTATAATTTCTAGTTCTGTTCAGTTTTATATCACATGCATGACAGAAAGCTGGAGAAACGAAAGATCTGGTGTATAAAAGAGTTAGAGGGAGGAAAGTCCCGAATGTAGGAAACGTGAAACGTGTTCCTTGCTGTGTTTGTGTATGTGTGTGTTAAACCGAAGATCCTCTGTAGAGCTATTACTGGCAACATGGTAGGGTAGGATGCTGATGTCCTTGTTCCCGTTGTGATCATGCCTGCAGGGCGGTCTCCACTACAGATCAGTATCGAGGGAGGGCTCGAGCTTGTCCGTGCCATCAACGTATGTAAGTCACATTGCTCACCATATTGTGCATTGTAATCTCTCTGTTCCGTCTTCCTCCACCCGCCTTCTGTTGCACTGATCAGCTGCTGCCATAATAATTATAATTTCTTATTTTCCGTTTTTAATTTTTGCTCTAATATTTCTCTTCCAGCCATCATTAGGAAAAAAAAAACAACGCACAAAATATAATAATAAAGATAATAATTTTACACGGCCAATCTTGATAATGTGTATGATTTAGCATGCTAGGATCATCACACTTATATGAAGGTACATCATTATATCATGTTGGGGCAGAACAGGAACATGGCAATGTTCTCAGTAGCAAGTGCATCACAGGATACAGATACGAGTTGCCGCAGGGTGAGTAACTGCAGGGTACTGTAGTCAATAAATTACCATATACATGTGCTTATATGATATTTTTTGTAGCTTTAATATAATTAAAAGTTATTAGTGGGAAAAAAATGTCCATTTCACCTCCAAAGATATTCAGTGAAACCCTTGTTCAATGCATGTATAGGTTTTTCTTTCGCTAAATCGAGGTTTTCACTAAATGGGGATTAGGCACTGTACCAAGACTTGGTGTACATAATAATAATAATAATAATAATAATAATAATAATAATAATAATACAATTTTCTGGATCTGAGTTTCCCAACGCCTTTATTATGAAGAGTATTGTCTTCTGGGATATGACACTGTAGTCTCATGCAAGTACACTGAAGTGATGAACTTGTGCTGGAGTACATAGCATCGCATCCCAAAAGATACACTGAAATCTTGATTATCTGTGGTACTGAAGAGGAGAAGTAAAGCAGAAAATAACAAAAAATGGATAATTCACATATTCAGAAGCATCCTCTAACCATACAGCATGCAAACCTGAAACAAAAATTAATCGTTACATTGAAAAAATCCTTTAAACTTACTTTAAGGCTGGGATGTCATTGCTCTTATATAAATTGCATTGCAATGTGCAGGAACTCAACATTCAATAAATGCTGGAAAACAACATGGTGTAGGATTTGAGTTTCTCATAGCAGAGGTTATGGAAATTCCTACCTTCTGGGAAGTTGCTGGTTTGATTTCTTGCATGGCTTACTCATCAAACCCTGAAGATGGAGGTGACATCTTTGTATGAAACTCTGGTTGACTTTAAGCATACCACATAATGTTATACCACAGACAGTGTTTATGTTGGGCTTCTGTTGAGACCAGAAAGCATTCACTAAATACTGACTTTCAATAAAAAGGCAACACAAAATTAGGATTTGACTATTTATTTCTCACAAATGGATATTTGTTTAACAACTATTAAGGCTGATAAGTTAGAAGCATCAGTGACATATTGAAGTACTATAGATTAGTTTCATGTTATTCCATATCGAATGTTTTAAGTAGACTTGTTTCTTCTTTAATAATGGGATAATAATTCAATATTTTTTCCCCCATTGTCTTCTTTTTCCTTAGGCATTTTGATTACATCTGGGTTTAGCAGTAAAATTTCTCCCTCTGTTTCTGTCTTCCTCAAAGGTTCCCCACAACAATTTCTCCATACCCTTTCTCGTCTTTAATATCTTTCCTAACCTGTCACTCTCACCTTGATCTCTGTCTTTGCCTTGAACATTTTCTTTTTTTGTGATTTTATCGTCATTTATTCACAAATTGTTTCCATACTCTCATATTTTCGTATTTATTAATTTTTTCCGTGATACTGGTATTTATCTTTAATTTTCTCTCTTCTGGTGTTTATCTTCGATACAGAGTTCTCACATTTTAACAACATGCTGTATATTTACTAACAAGGTATGACATCAGTTAACTTCTTAAAGACAGAGATGTTCTTGCTATTCAATTTCATGCTAACAGCTAATCTCAATTATAAAACACTTTCATAATTAATAAATATTAAGATCTCCTCTAGAAATTAGGGACTTCTCAAACCTTTTCCTCTGGTACAATGAACACTTGAAAAGTGACACATTTGGATTGTAATGATTGGGATTAATTATAGTTCTGTGTTGTTTTCTGACTGTAGTGTGAATTTTGGCCCATGCCACCATGTAGTCTGGGTACTGACATTAAGGATATCCTGAAGATGGAGGCAGTATGTTCCCCAGAAACATGTGTGCCCATCTACAAGACTACACGGAGTCAGAGTCAGAAAACCATGATATGAAATGTAGTTTTTTCACTGAAAGTACAATGTGTTACACAATATGGCACTGTATTTGACATATATCACATTAATTTCATGCACTAGAAAATGATGATATGCAAATGGGAATTATGTAAATCAAATTAAAATTGAATATTCAATCATTAGAGATACATATAATTTTAATGTACACCTATTTGAGGACCACATATGGCAACATCCTGGTGTTGAGTGGATGAGGACTTATGTAATTATAACATGAAATAAATAAATTGATAAATAATTTTATCCATGCTATAGTCTAAAAGCTTATACTGAGATCAAAAGTCGTCCCAAATGAATCAGAATCACATATGCACATATATATGTTAATTTAATTAGTTTCATGTATTATTGTGTAAAGCACAGAAGGTTCAAATTTTCTTCATTGACATTATGGTTTACTGTCATCGAATTTGTTGTGCTACTTTTGTATTTAAGATTACTTCAACTGTGTTATATAGATTCAGCAATGGAATGGACTCTGCAATAGTGACTGGAGGAACATGACGTAATAAGTTCAGATGCCAGATACCATGACATATTTGGCATGAACATAATTAACAACATTGTAGATATTCCTATACTGCCCCATGACAACATGGTTGACATGGCTGAAAATTATTCTCTGTGGCATTTGTTTCTTTAAATATTATTCATGCATCTAAAAATTATAATTACAGTGAATTCGAGAATTTAAGTCTTTTGTCATTTGTTAATATCAATTGCTTAAGTGCTGGATTCTGAATATGCCTGTAACTTATTTATTTTCAGATGATGTTACAGATTTTACCGTTTGCTTCCAGCATTCTATTTTCGGTTCAGTGCCCCTAAAAGTCTGATGCTAGTATAGAGACCTGTGCAAAGTCTGGGCACCAGATCACTTAATGTCTTTATGATGGCACTTGTAGCTTTCTTCCTATTAGTAATGTTGCTCTTAGCGTTTCCTTCTTGGTCTCCCTTATTCCTTTTCTATCCATAACCTTTACCCACGTTTTTCCTTAGTGTTTCCACTCAATTTAATTCGTTCATTGTATCATCATTCATCTTCCCTTTCTTCATTGCTGTCATTCATATTAAACCCTTTCCTCCTGCAAGAGCAAAAAGCAGTTTATATTTTCCACATATTCTAGCAATGGCAAATTGGCTTTCTTACTCCTGATGTTTTTGATTCTTTTCTGGGTCCCATTTTTTTGGAAGTAGCTTCTATGTTTATAGGAAATTTATGCTGGCCTCCTAGTACATTTCCTGTCACAGCAAAACTCTGCCTTCTCAATGGCGGATACTCAGTATATTATGGTTCAATTAGTCTCTTTCTCTGCTGTTTGCATATTAAAATACAAATTTAAAGTATATATAATTCAACAGAAATATTTATAGAAATGCAAATGCCACCAACAGATGATGTTACAATATGAATAAAATGGATGAATACTACTTATTGGACTAATCCTGTGTGTTTATTTATTGAAGTAGTTGCAGGTTCCATATCCCCAACAAATAAATTTCCTGGACTTATATTTCTATGTGTGATAGTTCAGTTTTGTTATGATTGGATAATAGTTATGATAACTTCTTTCTGGGGTGATATTTCCATATGGTACTGCTCAGTTTGTTTCATGCATGAGGGTCATTGGTTTCTCCTTTGTTGAATTTTGTCATTTAAACATATGAAGTTGGCATAGTGATTAAACTCTATATTTGTATTTCGGAAATGCTGAGATAGTACCTTTATTAGGCCACAACTGATTCTTTCCATATAATTTCCAATCATCCTACCATTCTGGCACTATATAGTCAGAGATGCTGACAGCTTTGTAAAATAAACCACATAGAAATTATAATTTCAGTTAAAAATCTCGCAAAATTTCTTAATTTCACTAACAGAATTATCCACAGTATAATGCTTGTTGTTGATAAGTCACACATTCTGTGACACAAAGAAATGTAAAACAGACACAAACAGAAACAACAATGGAATTATAAATATACATTATAATTCCTTTGAAACCATTAAAGCAATGAACGAATTATGAGAGGACTACAAATTTCACAGTTAAAAGAGTTTATGGAATGCAGAAAAATTGGAATAAGTATGATGGTTGGATCTCTGCCAGGCTTAACAAAATATCAACCAGAAAGTGAAAGTTTGGGAAGACTTCTGAAATGATTGAAGGGTCGTGTTTTATATATCCATGCAGATCTCAATAAAGCTATTACTGGAAGACATTTTGATTGATGATAATAATAATAATGATGAAAAGGATCCTCTAAAGATCTGTGACAATGGTGTGGTATTAATTATAAACTCTTTTGTTGGACTTTATCCATTGTCTCAAATCTGAAACTATACAATGTTTTGGAAGTTCCATCTGCTTGTGAAACATTGTATAATTTTAAATTTAATTAACAGAATTGACAGTGTCCAGCATAGTTTTATAATTGATGATGACAAACATACCCACTTGATATGCGTACTGATATATTTATCAGTGCTAGAATAGGTAAAACATTGTGTACTAAAATTGGAGCAGCAATTGAAAATAATCTGATTTACCTACTTCATCNCACATTAAACAATGATCAAGAAATTTATCAAGATTTATCATGGACTAAAATAAAATAAAATTTCCATTAAGACGTTCATTCATTACTCATTCCATTAATCAAGTGCGTCAAATTAAAATGCATATAAAAGAGACACTTATCATACAAAATTCACTTATTAAAACAATCAAAAACAGTAGATTAGTCATATAATATAAAATAAGCATAAAAATAGTTGACAACTTCAGGTGCAACTTAGTCAATAACAGAAATCAAAAGCACGCAAGCCAACATGCTACAATGCATAGTCATACACATACCGTGCATATTTCACCAAAATATAATTCATGATCACATATGCAAAACTTCACAGTAATAATAAAATGGTTAACAGACACTTGTTCAAACATGTTCTTCAAACTATCATACAAGATGTAATACCCATCAAGACAAATAAAACAGGATAAATACGTAATTTGTAGTTTATGACATATTTCTATATCAGTTCATTTGTCGTCACGATCTGTGTGTTCTCTTACATTACACATTATACCCATTTCTGTTGGTAGTATTCTTTCATGGAATAAAAGGAGTGATGAAGTAAAAATCTCTTCAGTGCTCTCTTAAAATTTGAATTAAAATTTGAATTACAGTAAACCCTCGCTAAACCAGTCACAGTTATTTCAGATGACAGATAATCTGGATCGAAATATGAAAAATGCTGTTAACAGTTGAGTACATACTTTAGAAACACATAGAATTTAAGAAGGCAGATGAGTCACTTGTCCCTTCAGACAAAATTAAACAGTTTCTTCAAACCTGCATAGTTACTTTCAAAAACATATACAATTTCTGAGTCTTCTATTGATGAATAAATAAATTGTCTTTCTGTAGTTTTTATATAAAGGCTCTATGTGGTTATTTTTTTATTCGGTGTCATCAGTGTTACTCATATTATTAAATTTTTCATTTATTTCTTTTCTAAGTTTCTTTTACCTTTTAGGATTGCCTTTTGCTTCAGTAATCCAAATTCTTGCTTAATCTGGCTGACCTCCACCCCATTTACTCTGATTAGCGAGGGCTTACTATAATTGCTATGCAGATATCTATTATGGTTTATAAAGTTCCTGAAAAACAGCTTTTTATGTTCAAAAATGTGATTCTTGTCATTACTGAATAAACATTACAGTCCATACCGGCTTTTAAGTGAACTGGACACACAAAATGGTACATGTTATATTAATTTTTTTTAATACTAGTGGGGTGGGACTAAGTCCCTTGTAATGCGGCCACTTCTGGCCTATTGTATCAGTCCCAGATGACAGGTGAGGGTGATTGTGGAGCAATTGGTGGAATGAAGATTGGCAGGGGAAACCGAAGTACTTGGAGAAAACCTGCCCCAGTGCCACTTTGTCCACTACAAATCCCACTTGATCAGACCCGGGATTGAACCCGGGCCGCCCCGGTGGGAAGCCAGTGACTAACCACTTGAGCTATGGCACAGCCCAACATGTTATATTAGAACACTCTGAAGTCGTAAATTCATCGAAATAATATCTGAGATTGCAGCTTCTGCCTCACAGCCATTAAGCTGCGACTCCATTACAAAGACCACCCACTTAATACTGGGAATCACTGTTCACTACAAGAATTATGTGGCACACATAAATACACTGTGTGGGCAAAGTGAGGAGCTTGTCACTATTGATGTGCTTGGTATGTATGGTTACCACTGTGCTTTTGAAGTGTTAATGAAAGAAATCAATACGAATTCTAATCAAAATTCATGATGAAGACAGTCTGCTGATACCACTTCAATGACTGACATAAAAATTCCATATAGGCTACTTCATGCTCTGGTACAGGGGAGGAACATACCGAAAAGTGTTGAAATGTATAGGATGAAGCAAAATTAGTCATGGCCCTCCAGAAATAGTCTCTATAAAGTTTAAATTTCTAGAAACTCATATTTCACAAAATGTTAAGATTATTTATATTGTGTATTTCACTTTACACTTAGTATCATAAAGCAAGTATTTAATTCCGAGTTGTTCATATGACTCATGGGAAGTGTAAAGTAAAATTATGGATAAGTCCCATAAATAATCTCCATTCATTTTCAATATTCCCTCAGCATAATTTTGGCCGTGTAAAATATTATAATTATGCTTTACGTTGCATGCTTCTTTTTTGCATATAGGGAAGTTGTTGTGTCCTCGTCTGGCAGATTTGTGAGTGTCCAGCGTCTTTTTATCCTTTTGTCTCCATTAAATGTCTTCTTCAAGCAGAGTCTTCGCAGAAGAGAGGCAATCTCCAACAGACCCTTGATAACTGTGTCTTTGTAATCGTAGTAGCATTATTTTGTGATGTTGTCCAATTACATTTTGATGGTTTATGCTAGACAGGTGACCTTCAGGACATAATTGTCTTCGTGTCCGTGCGTCCATTGTCAAGTATGTCAAGAAAAGCAAAACACTTGTCATGTGTATGCGTGTGTATGTTGCTTTGTGAACTTATTGTCGCTATCTGTTCTCTTCTATCCAGCTTGCACGGAGCATGATCGTGAGTACCGAATGGTGTTGACACAGATTTGTGTATTGCTGGATGTTGTGAATAGTAGGTATTAGTTGAATTTAGGTAAAGGGCAGTTGGTCCAGGGTTGCATTTCTCAACATTAATATGTGGTTTGTGTCAAATCAGCTGTTTCACATCTCAGTATCCTTGCAAATATCTGATTTTATTTACTTAAAAAAACAGTCTTTCAGAACTGAAGATAGATATTGAATTAAAGTTTTCAAGATACAAACAATTTAATTTTATATTTAAAAGGAACTTTTGTGCACAGCTGTCAGTAGATACAAAGTTACACCTACAGAACATCACAAGAAGAGTGATATTTCTTTGTGGCAGTGATATTTGGTACTAAAAGCAAGAAGAATCCAAGAAATTAAAGACAGCATAAATATACATCCTAACACCACTGCTAAGTTTCATTAGATCTGACCATCAGAGAAACTCTGATTAAAGTGTATAAATGTAGATGAAGGGGTACAAGGATAACAACAAAACTGGAAGAAAAATCCCTTGGGAGGGAAAGGAAGAAGACCACCTTCCACAGCTGACATTCTGCTACTGAATCAAGGGATGGCTAAAATGACCATGTGCAGAACAAGACCATTTTGGGACCCACAGTAACCGGGTTTAATAACCTGACCCTAATATGTTAATGATAAAATAATGTGCTGTACAGGTTACTGTAGCTTTTGTACTATAGTGATTTCATTGAAGGTTATGTCCAAATTTGATCCATTAAGTTTGATTCACTTTCCATAGAATTATATACAATATAAATATCTTCTGAATCAGTTTATAACTTAGAAGCAGAAGTACCCATTCTTCAGCTGGCATATGGTTGCTTTCACTGTCAACATCACAGCATATAATAGCTAAATCTTTAAAGAAGCAATAACACTCAGATTAAGGGATGAAATAAAAGGAGACGAGGAATGAGAATTTGAATTGCACCTAAAAATTCTACTGTGATACAGAAATGAGTACCAGGAATCTTCCTGGGGTTAAATAGTGGCTAGCACATGAGGTTGACAACCTCACTGCCATCTGTGAGATGATTGTCTAGAAAATATACCCATCTCACAATCATGTTGGCCTCCATGGCCTGTTATGGGGATAGCTTTACCTCTTACCTCTTTATACATGTATTTCTTCAGGCCATATCCAGGAAACTTGGCAACTTAGAATTAGTGAATTTCATATTTTGTTCATTACATCTACATCCTTTTTCATGGGATCATCTTACCATTGGGCACTATACAGTTGAGCTAATGACAGTTTTGTTAAGTAAGGTATAATTAAACCAGAACATATATAATGTGTTGTAAACAAGGCACACAAAACCTGTAAAACTGAATCTAATTCCATTTATGTAAAATGTATTGTATAACAATAGAGAAAGAATCTGACATGGCAACAGAGTGATCACTTTATTCTGGAATGATCAATGGTTTGTAACTTTAAACTAATTTTATTCCTTAGAATGTTTACTATTTCATGTTGTAGTCTTTAGTTTAGAGTAGCTGTGTGTGGCTTGTAATGCATTGTAGCTTAGATCTGCATGCACCTTGTAATAATCAGCAATAATTACCCTTCTGAACTGTAAGTTAGATTATATGATTTTATCAAATATAACAATTGATATCATGGTTGCCAACCACCAGATAAAATCCAGACAACTTGCCAGAAAGGCCACATTATGGATTATATGATTTTATTCTCTGGAGAAAGCAGAATGCTGTAGAATATCAATTTGAGAATTGAAATTTCTACACATTATATCATTGTAAGTAAAGACGTTTTTTTTTTCCTAAGTGACAACTGAGTCAGCTCTCTTGTCCCTAGCAACGGTTCTGATCTTGATTCACTGCTCTTTCCTGCACAATCCACTCAGGGAAGTTCTAAAGGCACTCCACACCCATTGTGATGGATTCAGGAAGATCGAGCCTTGCTGATATATACAGTTCTGTAATATTAACATATTTTATATTTTCAGAACTTTGTGATTGGTTTCTATAAACTTGTACCTGGAAGAGAAAAGTGTGTATCTGGCTAGTTGGCAATCCTGGCTTTAGTATTGTTTGTATATGAAAGAACATTGAAACACAGTAATAAACCTTAAATTCTGAATACAGTATTTTTTATAATGGAATCCTTAAATTTATATGAGATTTCTCTTACTTCCAATGGTGTTACCTGAAAACCATGGGAGAAGAGATTTGTTTAACTCATTTTTTAAATTCAAACTATAGTAAAATTTACTTACAAGCTCAGCATTCAAATTTCTGCTTGCTTTAAATATGCTGAACTCCGAAAATGAGTCAGTTATGTTTCTCCAAATGTCAGGAACTCATAACAGACCACACAGCATCACATCCCAGAGTATATTGCCCTCCATACCCATTCTTAAGAAGCAAATTCAGTTTTAGAAACCATTCACTTACATTTTACCCAAAAGCACAATGGATCATTAAAGGTCACAATGCAAGGGCCACTTATATGGCTCACCCCTCATACGCATACATTTTACACAAACGTGACAGCTGTTCTAGTGCATTCCCGTATCTCTGATGGTTTCCTCATTTGTCTGTGCCAGGGTGGCAGTATGCCGAACACAAGCAGCAGCGTGCCCTTCCTGCTGAGTTCCAGTATGAGCAGCATTCGGTCTCGTCGGCCTTCTGCCTGCTTGTCGAGCTCGCAGGGGTCAGGCCTCCTGCAACAGCTCGGCTCCGGCATGGTAAGACAACTCACACTGGGAACCTCCTCTCAGCACCCGGCCAACGGAAGGGCATTCCCTAGTAGCAATGTAAGGAAATGTCCTTCCTGTGTGACTCTCAACAGAATTCTTCCTGCTGCTGCTGTCGCTGCTTCTCATTTGTGCTTTGCCATTATTTTTGTTGCATTTACACATTCGGAGCTTCTCCCTTCCTTCTCGCCTTTACCCCTCTGGTAACCTGCTGAAATACTTGCACTTTTTGCCACAGAGTATTTACTTTCCAGAAAATATTCCTCATTCTGGAACTAATATTTCCTGTGGTTGGTTACATCCTTGTTTGTTACTCTGTTACTTTGTTTGCCTAAGTTTTAACATCTCACAAGTACAAACACACAACCAGAAGCGCTCGCTCATCAGTATCACAATATATAACAGCTGAAACTCTAAAGAAGGAATAACGCTCAAATTAGGAAATGAAAGGGCCAGGATACCTCAGTCAGTATAGTGACCAGGGTTTAATTTCTGGCAGAAGCAAGAGATTTTCTCTTCTGCATAGCGTTCAGAGCGATTCTAAAGCCCACCCAGCCTCTTATCCAGTTGGTACCAGAGGTTCTTTCCCTGAGGGTAAAGCGACCAGCATGTGAAGCTGGCCACTCACATCCGTCTAGTGCTGAGGTCAAGAATCATGGAGCTATATCTCCACTCCCCCCCCCCACATCTTCATGGTGTAGTGTTAAATTAGTTGAGCACAGGGACAACTTATCTTTTCCTGATGTAATTAAAAAAATTGTGAATGAGGACTCAGACCACATCAAAGAATTCTACTGCAGTACCTGCACATTGCTTTAACATCCCTGGCTACGTTAGATACCGGCAGTAGAGTGGAGGAATTTTCATAATATCTTTGTGTGTTGTCCATTAGGCCTGGAGCTGGAAGCAGGACACAGAGAAGTTCCATTTTTATATATTTTGGATTATTTGAGATGAGTGTTCACCCACATTCAAATGCTGGTATGTCATCTGTTGCTTGCCAATATACTTATTCCCATTTAGGGGCCACTGTCTCCAATTGGCCCCCTCACAGCCCCCTTCTCCTATCATTTCCCTATATCTGCACCTTGATTTTCCCATGTGGCTTAGTCATCTATCCTGTAGATGGACACAGCAGATTTCTCAGAAACACTGGTACCTTTCTGCTAGGCTAAAGGATATCACATCCCAGAAGGCTGCAATCTACTTTGGAACAGTTTATAGTCTGTGATGTCACAGAAAAGATAGATGTGGCATGCTTTAACAGAAAGGCAAACCATTCCTGATGTATTCATTACTGAAGTTGGCTGCACTCAACATTTAAGTTCAGTACCAGCTTCTAGAGAGAACTTTTCCAGAAGGAATGGTCAGTTGAAACCTATGCCCTGTGACCCATTTCCTTTTCTCCTATAGTTCCGCAACAAGTATGCAGAGACATCTAGTGGTGGCAGCTGAATCTTGTATTACTTGTTGTTCAGTGCACTTACATTGTGTTTGCAGGAACAAATGCTTTACAACTGTAGCTGGTGAATGCTGTCACATGTCTGTTCAGTCAAGTCATGTCAAATTTCTCTGCTTGTGTATTTTGGAACAAAAGAAAGATACAATGTTTGTATCTTGTGATAATGATTTACTGCTCTGTGTTATAAACTTACTCTGTATGTGTGTTTGTGTGTGTAGTGCTTTATAGAGCTGTTATTCACAGTGGGGAAAAAGTTGTATTATCCCTAGATTTATTTATGACATAATTAAAACTTTTATCCTTCTATATGTAATCTTGGGTTACCACAGCAACACATTGCATAAACATAAATTATTTGTTAGGCCACAAACAACTGAGAAATATTTTGTTTCAGAGTATTATGTCTGTTGTTTGAGTACTGATAATATTTTGATGTTCATATGTGAGGCACACTTATTACTTATCATGGATGTGACTTAGCTTATAAAGATTTTGCTTTCCTTCTTCTTTCGTAGCTTGCTTTTCAAAATGTGCACATAGAAGATGCTCATACAGAACAGTTTAGTAACACATAACCATCAAGACTGTTAAGAATTTTGTCACTGATATAGCCAATATTATTACTTCCTGAGCATAAAATCGTTTATTAATGCAATATGTAGAATCAGATATTTCCATAATGAGTGATGCAGTTCCCATGAATTGTTTTTGAACATCAAAAATGTTATAGCTTAAATATGCATGAATCACATTATTATAACAAATATCTGAACTGTACTACTGCTTCTAAACAGTTATATTCTAAGCTCTGTTTGTAATCCAGTAAGGAATGACTCTCTGTGGTATGAGGTAGCCTATAAATAGGATTCCTTTATTAATACGTGTATTTTCAGTTTGCCTTTGATTTCGCTGAGCTGTAAGTTAGTATTATATAAGTTTAAAACTATATTCAACTCCTTGAAGTATGAAATTGACAAATCTAACAGGAAATACTGAAAATTATATAAGTGTTATTTAGGATATTGAAAGAAATTAGCAGTTCAGCAGCTGGCTGCTAATCAGAGTGGCAGTCCAGTGTCAGGGTTGCTTTTTTAAGCCTCTAGACAGGCTCTGTGCTGCAGCATTTCCAGTGGCACTGATTTCACAGTTATCCTGCTGAATTTGTTATATAGGGTCCTCTTCAGTGAAAGCAGGGTATACCAGAATGCAAGGGTGACAGTGGAATAGGAGAAATTGTAGAAAATACATCCTTATGCTCCGCTTATATATCCTACTTTGTATATTAAATAGAGCAAAAAGTCTGCAGAGGGTTGTGAAATTATGGAAAGATTCTATTTTGTAATATCTGTATCAGGTTTCAGTAGGTCTAATACTAGAAATGATGGTGAAGGTAATGGTTACTTTAAAATTATATAATTGTAATTCTTGAGTAACACAACTTTTTCACCCACTTGATAGAATAACAGCACTTCTTTGTTCCCATAATTACAATTCATTCTGCTCCTGCATTGTTTATAAGAAGTACTTCAAATTGAGTACAATTAAGTTCCTGCTAATTGTTTCTTCTGTGAGAGCATCTTAAAAATTATTTGACAAATTACACTAAATTATGGAATTTTGGTACCTAAATAAAGACAATTGTGCTGAATAAGAGTGAATACATATACTGTGTCATGAGCTTCAGAATCAGCAAGACGCCCTTGCACTCATGGCATGAGGCATGTAGATGCATGCATAAGAATTGAATTGAATTGATACTCGTTATGTTTTTTATGATCTCAGTAGTATTATTTAACATATCTGTATATTGACTTGGTACCTTGTACTGTTTTTATTTATGTGTTTTGTTTGACTTTTCCACATCCTCTGAATGTATTTCTAGTATTGGATTTATGGAAATAAAGACTACTACTACTACTACTACTACTACTAAGAGGTAAATTAATATTTTGATAATGAAGTAAATTCCCCTCTGCTTTCTGTCTGCTTCTTGCTGGTTACTTGCTTTCCTCACTTACCAACCCTGAAGTTGAAGGTAGTGTGTTCCTCTGAAATGTCAGGGAACTTCTACCAGACTACATGGTATCACATCCCAGAAGATGGTACCCTTCACAGTCACTGCTCTGAGGCCATCAGATCCAAAACAAATTGAAGTTTAACAAAACTGAATGAATGGGAATGTGTACCAGGAGAGTTGGCAATTCACTATGTTGAGTCTTATTTAGTCTCTGTTGCTTTCTTGACAGCACGTTTTGTGTAGTAAGTTTGCATTGGCTGAATTAAGTCACATAAAATGTAGCTCAGTAAATTGTATGCATTTTTCTTTAATCTTCATTACTATGTTCAGTTGTGAAGCACGCAAAACAGTGATCAATTAGGTTACCAAAAACAAAATTCTTCTGATATGTATTCATTTATAGCTAAGAACAGTAAGAATATATTTTATTTACATTTATTTCTGGTACAGGGCCTAACAAATGTATTTAACCAACACCATTTTGTATACTTTTAAAAGTTGAACCTTGTATGTGTGGTTTGATTGGGTGCAGATATTTGAAATTTGTGTGTACATGTTATTTTATTCACGAGGTTTCTAGCATCTTCATGACAGGCCTGTGTACAACCTCTCAACCCATATTTGGGAAGCGCTCAATTAGGTTATGGGTGTTTTCTTCCGGACTATTTCCAATTCATCATTCAGGAATCGTTCTACAGGCCAGATATTAGCAGCACCATAAAATATCATCTTCCAAATAATTTTCCAGTTTTACCAATGAATTTAGCCATACATCTTTACAGCCAAACACACATATATGTATGTATGTTAATCTTTGCTGAGTTAATTTGCTGACCTCGAATGTCACACAGGAACAGACACTCATAACCTCAGAAGCTTACATACCTCTAAACCAGCACACATGCTACTGGATCTTATCCTGATACATTCCGATAGAGCTGCGTCATATTGTTATATGATTCTTCAACATCCATTTATATATTTTCCCCATTTATGCCTAAGTCATGTAAGCTGTCTGTTGCCGCACTGTTCTCCATTCAAACCTTTTCTTGCTCTTTCCAAAGTCTCCATGTTCTAGTTACTCACATTCCTTAATTTTACTCTGACTTATTGACATGGATCAGATGAATATAGTTTCAGTTGGATAGATACATCACTAAAGAGCATAGTAATGAAGATGTGTGAAATTTGTTGAGTGTGGTGTTATCTCTGTCAATGGAACTCTCACCTGAGATCAGTGTGCCTGCCTTTCTCTGTGAATCACAATTCCAGAGTCAATATCCCACTGTTAATTTCTTTGTTTTGGTGTTACAGTATCAGCTATTTTCTGGAAGGTCCTAGGCTGAGGACTGATAATCTTGGATTTGTGAGTCATATTTTCATAGCATGAGCTTTGCAGTGATGTGATACAGAACTTCTTCACAATGAATCTAACTAAATGACAGAAGATGCAAGCACTCATAAAATACGGACCAGAAATCACTGTGTTCCGGGCAAGTAAGTATAAAGACCATTGTCCACTTTTGAAACCTTGGTTTTCTGCGTTGTTCACGTGAGGGTTATATTACAGCGATGTACAGAAACCCAGTTATAGGATGTTCACCTACAGAAGGCATGTCAAACTAGGTGCAAGAGTTGAATGTTCTTTACCATGTAACAGCAAGTGTTTGCCATTGTCAACAGAAACATAAAATTTAATTGAACTGCTAATTTGAACCCTTTTAAAAACAGTAGTATGAATAATTACACGTACAACCTGCTCTAACATTCAAAAACTGAGCATTTCCCCCACACAGCTTATTGATGTGTTTCACATGATTCTCACAATAAACAGCAACTGTTTTCCTAAACAACATTGACTTGTTGCTGCTTATGATGATGATGATGTGAAATGATCTCTGTGATGTAGGAATTGAATTTTCAAAAATGATTTCCTTAAACTTTAGGGCTTTAAAAAGTTAAAATGACAGAATTATTCCACAGCAAAATTAACGACTAGAGAAATAATGAAAATGACTACAATCCGTGGAACTGTCAGACTTCCTGTTATCACTGATCTGTAAAGATTTAGCAAGATTACTGTCTTCTGAGATGCGTGAGAACTTGAAATCCAACATAGTTAAATGTTAACATGAAGGAAGTTAAAATCTAATTTCTATAAACTGAGTGACTAGCCATTGCACATAGTATGTGTATAACCAACATTTTCAAACGACAAGACAGTTGTGTAGTAAAAAAGAGAATAGATTCATTTATGCAATATTGTTCCAAAATACTGACCGAGTTAGCAGTGTCTGGTATTCAAAAATATCACAGGTTTATGCTATTAATGATGACATTACAATATATGAAGTTATTCAAGACGGTAAAGATTCATATTGTAGTTTTCTTGGTTATGACGCAATGAAAACTGGTAGCAGCAAGCCTGTTAAGGCATAGATGCAGCAACACAGAAAGCCCCACAGCACTTTTTCAACTGACCACAGCTTTAGACCATTGATCTTAAACCTGGGGTACAAATTAAAATTCGTCCCTGAATTCAGGTACTGGGGTGCCAGAAACAAGCTCAGTCATCTCATTCGCAGCTCAGAACCACATTAATAATTGATAAAATATTTAATCATATAATTTTTCTTTGCTTAAATACCTTTATTCTTTTATTAATTCCTATTTGATAGGCAATAATATATTTGTTATTTAATAGACTGATTCTCCATTTTATCAGTTGAAACTTATCATTTAATACATTATTTTGGATGTAATTTCTTTAATTTATTTCAGATGTTGATTATAATCTATGTATAACTGAATTACACACCAAGAACTGTAAAGATAAATTAGATCTGGGGGTATGCGGACAAAAAAGGCTGAATACTCCTGCTTCAGAGCATATGAAAGCCTGTATTTCCCTCTGAACATTTGATGCTATCCATCAACAGAAATGCTGTAATAAGTAACTGTGAGTCAGTCTGTTTGGTTGTGGCAGTTTTAGTGCAAGAATGTCAAGTTGATCTAATAGGCTCTTGGTGTGCAGAGATTTAGTATTCTCTGCCACGAGAACCTAAAATCTCTCATCATTTTAGTTCATTGACTCAGACACTGATGTTTGACTTGCTTGTCCAGTAGCAACAGCCCATAAAACCAAGGATGTAGCTCATGTCATCTGACCAATTAATTTCCTATGGAAGTAAATCAATTAATCCACTTAATAAATTTTTTATTTTATGTTCACTTCAGGTAAGACAAGCTGAAATAAAACACGTGTTCAATAGCAGCTGCACACAAGTTGTTTTGTGGGTCACACAGAATAATGATTGCAATATGAGGTCATCCTAAGACTTACCAAATGAACAACACAAGTCCCATCCCTTGTGCCTTTTCATGTCTGATTTATTTAGAGTGAGAAGAATCAGCAGGTCTTAGAGTCTTCTTGAATGTGACACTACATAATTTTGTAGATAGGAACTAAAGTTTTGACTGATGATTTCTTCCTCTATCCTGAAGATGGAGGTGTCAGGTCCCTCTGAAATGCTGGCACCTATCTACCAAACTGCATATGTGCAGCATCACATCCCAGAAGACGTAATCCAAATGCTCAGTGCCGCGAGAATTTACAAGACTCTGCAATTCTTCGTCTTCCTTTTCCAGGGTCATTTCTATCTCATACAGGTCACTGATGAGACTGCAGTCTTTTTTTTTTCCTTCCCACAGTCACATCAATTTTTCCATGTCTTCCAGTACAACCTAAACCATCTTGCTCTGGGTCATTCCATAGTTCTCTTTCAATTAAATTTGAATTTTAATCACCTTCTGTGTATGTCCTTGTTCTAGTCATTCTTTTTATATGGTAAAATCATTGTAACCATTTCTTTGCTGACTCCGTTAAATTTTTAACTCTTAAATTCCTTCTGTTCCCTTCTCCCCTCTGGTTTTATACTTGACACTTAAACCAAAATCATGTCTTCGCTTGGATTTTACATTTGTTTCTCTTTGTAGGGCTCCATGTCCATGCATTATCCATCAGAATTGGCTTAAAGTATATATACTTTATAAATTTCAACATATCCAATAATATGCTAGGAATTCCAAACAAATGCATGACTTTCTTTGTTTGCAGTGTTAAGTACTGATTTATAAGATGTAAGTTACATTATGGCAGGTTCACAATTGTTATAACAATATTTCAGTTTTAGTTAAATTGGTCTGTCCTCTTAAGTACATAATTAGCAGATTGACATGTAAAATTATTGGATTGATCTTTTTGCAATCCCAAAGCAGATCTCTGCATGTCGGTATGGTACCTCTTTCCATTCTTGGCACAACCACCTGTTAGTCAGATTTTATGACATACATGGTATGGTATTGAAGAGATAAATTACAGCAGTAGAAACCAAACTCGTTCAGCCACATTATGAACAACTAACTAGGAATGAAAATGTGATGCTGTGTATCCTGCAAGATAGGTACCATGCATCAGAGGGAACCAATGTCTTCATCTTCAGGCTGAAAGAAGGGTTAGTTCCTATCAGATGACATGGAGTCACATCCCATATAAATGTACCCATAATGTTCACTGCCATTCATTTTTCACAATTGTGTTGTGTAATTCGTAGCAGAAGCACAGAAAATGTCGATTTCAGTCAACAGATTTCTCCTCTGTGACCTGTGACAAATGCCATGCCAAATGCAGACAGAAGCACCATGAACAGAAAAGGATAAATACATAATATTACATCGTAGCATCACTTCTTTTTCATTCATTCTGTGAGCTTGATCTGACAGATATAGAGATAAATCTGACCATGAATAGGTTAAGAAAGGAGACATAATTAAGACAAGAACACACATTCTTCCCTGTAATCTTACGCACTACACAAACAGAAAATATTAGCACCTCATTCTAAACATTTTAGTAAATACCTGTAATTTATTTTACATTTTTTTTTCGGCTAACTTAATGCTTAATTTCTGATTAAAATAGATATAAAATAAAATCATATGTATGCATGCAACTTGGGCTGTAAATTAGTAGCCCTGTTAAGATTCTGAGCCTTGCAACCAGTGTAATTACTGCTACCCCTAAGTAGGACTAAGTTTTGCTACCTTTTATGCTGATACTGTAATTTTATTTTCTGCGATAGTCGGTGGGTGTGTGTGTATGAAGCACTTGATTGATTAGAATAGTGCAAAATTTTACACAGATCAAAATTCAATTGTACAATAACATGGCAAAGCAAGCATGTCTGCAAAAACAATAAGACACACTTCTGTGTGAGACATATCTCATGTAATACACAGTGTTACTGCTTCTCACATTTTGCAATCTCTCTGTGTTCATTTAAGTGCTTATGCTTCCTTCTGCTTCTGCAACACTATGACACAAAAATGTCAGTGAAGTGAAAACCAACCTGTTTATTCTTTCCTCAGTTTTCCTTTTTATTTATGAAGAAGCCCTCACATAGGATATACAAATGAAATTTTTTAAAAGTAATTAAATTTTAAATTAGGTTTTCATACATGGGCTATAAGTTGGACAACTGGAACCACCGAATCCAGCTGGAAAAGATCTTCAATTCTAAACCCCGTGATGTATACATATGTTGCTTCTTCTATGGGAGAAATGTGTTTGTACTCTGTGTCATAATCGTTAGAACCATTCTTCTGCCTTGTGTAACAATTCCTTGACAATCCAACATAAAAATGTCAAAATATTTTTTCAATATATAATGGTGTAATAGGATCTGTGCATTATGTGATGTTCTCCATAGTATCTTTTGCCTTTTCCCAAGCAACATTTCTCTTTATACCATGACTGTAAGATATGGAAGTTTCATTCGACCTGAGGTATTTTTCTTGTCACTTCAGACTTCAAAAACATATTACTGGAAAAGTGTGTGAGTTGGCTCACTGGTAACTGTCATTTTCAAATTGTCTATCAATGCCAGGCAAAAACAATTCTTATTCCTCTTTTCTTCTTCTTTCAACCGAGGGATGGGAATGCTACAATCCCACCATTGTTACTGAAAATTTCATACTCTAAATTCTTGTGTAAAGAAATACCTCATTTTGTGATGACTGTAGTGAATATGGTGCACTCAGTTTGTATGTTTGTGCATGAATGTGTTGGCGTACCTCTTGAGATAAAGTATGAAGGGCTGAATCTACCGATTAAAACATAATAAATGCAGAACACAAGACAGGTCTGCTCTGAACCCAGTGCAGAAAAACTATAAACAATTGGGGGTCTGAAGTAATAAGAAAAAACACCGCCATTTCAGTACTCTTCCTCACTTCTTTAAACAAAAGCTGTGATTTCTTAGAAACTTTTCTACTTGATAACCCTTGTATGGTTGTGCCATTTGCTCAACATAGTTAGTAGTGTTTGATCTTCTTTCTTTATATGCCATAAGGAGGCTCATTTCCTTTGGAGTATGGAATGGTATGTGAGAAATAACATTATGAATGTTTTGCCACAAGACAATCTCTAACTGTAGCGTTGCACAAAACATGACAATATCGTCAAACCAGATTGCAACAGAGGTAAATGGCTATACTTTACGTAATAACTGGATGGCCTTCAGTAAGCTAATTTCTACATTTTCCTCCCTTTGATGATATACTTCATGTTCCTGTAAGGAAATCAAACGTATATATAATTGCTAACAATAGCAATGTCAACAAAAACTAGTGCAAGTGATGAAATTATGTAATAACCTCTCCGAGTAAGACCATAAAATTTTAATGGTATGGGTAAGAAGCTGAAAATTGAAATTAATATGAAGTTACTGGTGTACGTAACTGTAGTAAAGATAAACACATGTACCTGTTCTTCAATATTGCAATAATGTAGTAGCTAAAACTTTAAAAATGGCATTACAAAATTAAACTTTACTCATGCAATTAAAATAAGCCTGGGAATGAGGATTTGAATTCCATTCAAAACTTGTGCCACAACATTTGCATGTCATTCTAACAGCCATGGCTACTGTACACACCAGCAAGGTTACAGAATAAATCTTATGTTATCTTTGAATGTTCTGCAGTAGGTCCATAGCAAGAAACAGAAAATTACATTTTTATATATATTAGATTGAGGGAATTTAACAGCTGAAAACATTCTGTGATTGACATAATAAAACAATCTGTTTACATACATGGATATAAATGTGGTTAAAATTTATTGTTAATGCTATCGTCTTAGATTTTTCATGGCACCTGGTTTACAAAGTCATGAACATTCCTGAGTCACTAACACTAGCTTTTGTCTAACTCACTGCTATTGTTGGCACAAATGTGTTTATATAACAAGATGTCAAATCAAAATGTACCTTTAAACTAATATTGTTCAGGTATTTTCAGTATTAAAAAGTTCAATTATCATGGAAAGCTAAAATGCAATGTTTCAGGAGAACTGTGTTCTACCAATGTGTGTCATGAAGATATATCATATGTATATTTTGTACTGTACAATTGGCCCTGGTTACTTATTCATATCACTTAATTTTCTTGGGAGGGGGGGGGGTCATGCTGTACAGAACTGTGTTAATTTTCCGTGTCAGTTTCACTCATTTATCGATGGTATATTGCCAAAAGATCACTGTTAACAGAAACTATATACACTTTATTCTTAAAATGAGTTGCCATAGCAGGGAGACATATTATTCTTGGAGCCTGTGCCTCTGCCCCATGTCATTCCAAATCACACAGTTGCTGTAATAACCTCGATGTGGCGGGGGCAGTTACTTCACTAAAAATAATTAAGAAAGGAACTATATGTTTCAACAATTTTCTTACTGTTATGGTATTTGAATTACCATTTTTTCAAGAATTAATAAAAATTCTTCATGTTGTATATGTATATAGTAAATTCAGAAATTATCTTTATATATCTGATCTGCAGATCCATGTCATGTATGTATAAATGTATTTATGTACAAAAATGCTGTACATATGTTAGATTATAAATTAGTATGCATGTCATTACAATATGTATGTGTGACTGAAGAACAAGCAGTTGGGGATAAGATATCTTTAACTTACATCATACATCATGAATAGTTTTGTTTACAAATCCTTACATTCAGCCCTCTTTCCAAGATCTCCTTCTTACAATTCTATCATGCCACATCATAATACAAAAAATAAGATTTGAATGAACAAATGCATACTTTTGTGTGTGTGTGTATGCATAATTAGCTTCTATGTTCTTTTACTAAGAGTATTTTCATTTTGGAGATCACATTGTAATCAACATGCATACAAGCTCTAAAATATGTTCAGACAAAACTTGTCTCTTCTTAATTAAGCACGACATGAAGATTCATCTCCCTCGTTGTTTTTCCCTAAATAAAGGTGAGTGGTCAGTTTCACATTGGCCAATTTACTCCTAGGAAAAAAGCCACCAGGTATCCACTGGACAGGAGGCTTGGTGTGCCCCCAGAGCCTGTCCGGACACTCTAAAGAGAATAATCTCTTGCTCCTGCCAGGAATCAAACTCTGATTCCTAGGCTGGCCAGCCCACAGTGAATCTCAGTACTGATCAAGTTATCCTGGCTCCATGCTTAGGCAAAAGCATTATATAAATGGTCACTTTCATCTCTCCAAGAATTTATGACAATCACATCCCTTTAAGGGCTGCAATTTACATGGTAAGACTAGCAAATCAACTTATAGTGCACCATTTCTGTGCATGAATTCTGCATTCCATTCTCCAAACATTAACTTCAAGGAATTACTGCATTTTTGGACTTTCTCCAGCATCCAGTATTCTAAATGATCAGAGAACACACCATTTTGGAAACTGGATCTGTTACCATCCTTAGGTGATGGGGGACCCCTCTTCTGTCGGGTCCCTTAGAAAGAGCTGTCACCAGACAGCCTGTCAGTAATAACTACAGCTATGTAAATACCCGAGACCAGACTTTGTGATGGGAAATTGTACAGAATTCTGATGAAGCATACAGACTTGACACTAGGACAGAAAAAAAGGCAGAAAGTAAATAAAGTACATTACATTTTTCCTGGTTTTGGGTATTTACATAGCTGTAGTTATACTGTATTTATTACATGTTCCAGCACATCCACACAAGGCTGAAGCCATTGGATACAGAACCTGTCACACCACAAGCTTGCTAAATCAGCAAGTAGTCAACAGAACAACGCATATAAATCCACAACAATAAATCAAGCATATGAAACCCTACTAACATAGGTTGCCCAGTGATTGAGGTTAGCTCTTTCTAAGGGACCCGACAGAGTAGCATCTCCCCACTCACCTGAATGGTGAGTATATTAATCTCTAAATTACTTACCAGTCATTAATTTTTCACTAAATTTACACAAAATTTGATTCAGAAATATATCTTCTCAATAAGTAACCAAATGTTCAAACTAGATATAACATGCTGACATTAGTTGTGCACTTGGGTGTTGGTAGCAATTTGGAGCTACATGCTCCCTCCATCTTCAGGGTAGAACTGTGCAGACTGTGAGTATTTATTTTGTGAAAGAATGTGGGGTGGTATCCCACGTGGGTCAGTATGACAGTGGACAGGGAAAGATTTGAAAGAAAATAATACAGTAAGGCCTCACTACTTTGAAACCCTTATGCAAATCAGTGGTGGACATTCAAATTACAGGAGTGGTACTGCGACATGTGTTGCGGCAGCTTCCATATCATATAACATATAATAAATTTACTTGTCATAAAATGTAAAGATGTAAGTTTTGACATCAGCCTTAAAAACAGTTTAAGGTGGCAGCAATGTGATAACCAAGGTTGTAATGCAAAAAGAAAAATCTTCCAAATTAGTGAGGTTTCACCATATGGGCATCATGCGCTCAAATCCCTGGAATCACAAGCAATAAACTGTAATTACTTTGGGTCCAATAATCATGTTACAACAGACACTTTTCACATTTTATTTATTTGTAAATTAAAAAACAAGAACAAAACAAGCTGTCCTCCCCGATCTCCATTTAGTTGAAATATTCAGCATTCTACATGGTCAGCATTTCTATTGTAACTGATAAATCTCATTAACTGGGCAGGATAACATTTGTATACAGTTTTATCACAGATGAACATGAGGAATCAATTCACAATAAAGTAAGCAGTCTTCCAGGTTGTAATGCCACACGGTTCGGAGACAACCAAATGTTTTAAAGCTTGAGCTTGCTGCCTTCTTATGATGGGTTGTTTCTTCTTTGGTTTACTAATTGACCCTTAAGATGGAGGCAGTATATTTCTCCGAAATGTTGGGGCTCCTTGCAGACTGCATGGCGTTACAACCCATACAGCATGTAAAACCATTAACTGTACATAAGATGGCAGTGAAATAGTTACCAAACTACAGTGTCACATTTCAGTTATCTTACTAACAACTGTACATATTAAAAAAATAGTTACACAAAGTCTACATTTTGACTTATGTTAGTATGACAGAAATTATGCAAAAAGCAAGGCAGCACATGGATGTGGGAGCCACTAGGATCTTCCAAGAGTCACAGCCATAAAATATGTTACAAACTTGCATTTATCCCATTTAGAAGTATATGCCCTGATCAGGATAGCCATGAGGTGTCTGTCGCCAGCGTCCATGCACTCAGGACACTCCTACAGCTCTGGTACTGCACCTTACAAAGACAGGCCAATGTACAGTAACATGTACTGAGTTCATGCCCATATTCAGCGCAAGAAGCTTTGCTATTTCAACTGGAGCTAAGTTTAACATGCGAAAGGAGGGCAAGCGTTCAGTCCTCCTCAGTCAGTTTAATGTCTGGCAATGACATGCTATAACAAATTATGTTAGATACACTGAGGTGACAGAAAGATGTCCCACAGGCTGACCTGCTCGAGTTCATACAATTGCCCCTCCATAATACTTCCCTGCATCCCCCTTCATACCTCTGGTAGTGACACACATTATAGGCAGCTGATGATATAGGGCAGGAGAAAACAGAGAAGGGGGGAATCTCAAGCACTGACATCCCCATCCTCCGTGAGACTTCTCTCCACACTCAGAATTTATCACAGTGTTCAATGAGACAGAAGCGGTACCTTGCTAGCAACTCCCTTACATCCAGTGCCCTGAGGTAACAGGGCCATGACCTTCTCAATGTCACTATTCGACAAAGCAATTCCTTGCCAATTTACAGCTGCTTGAATACACATCATAATATCTTCACGTTGGAGAGGTCTGAAAGTGATAAAACTGACTTCTAATGCAACATCTTGAAAAATGCTAGTTACTTTTTCTTCCATAACTTGAAATTGAGGTTCCACATATCCATTACCCTGCAAGATAAACGTCTGATCTTTGCCACTGAACACAAGAATAACAATAGCTCTAACACCATGATATTGGCTATGTCTTGCTACTTTTTGAAGAAACCTTGCTATATCAACAGCATCACTAGTTACTAAATCGTCTATTATAACCAGATTGGCACCACAATGAGAAAACTTAGCATACACATCACTTGCTGACAGTGAACTGGACTGTAATGGCCAGATGAAATGTTGGACACTTTCCTCCCGAGGAAAAAGTTTACTTATAAATGATGTGGTATATGACTTACCAACACCTGTCCCCCCAGCAAATGCCAATATTACAATTCCTGGATAATGTGTGTTATAGAACTTGTTCAAAACAGACATGATGTCATGCACTGCAGCCTTCTGACCAAATATATTATTTTCAAGTGCAGTTCTTAGAACACCCATATCCAACGTCATTTCACACACCCTCTGTTGTGAAGCAAAATATAATGAACTGCATACAACAACAGCTGCAACTACAAATATGAGTGCTAAGAATATATATATTCCTTGCTCTGCAGAATTCTTTGTTTTGCTTTCTGTTTTATTCTTTCTCCATCTGTATATGTTATGAGTTAAATTCCTTGCTGTTGAACTCAATGGCTTCATATTGGTTTTTAGTTCAGGAAGCGTTTCCACTTTTCCTTTCTGCCGGAGACAACGATCAGGAACATCTTTCAGGCGGGGAGTATTTATGTTTTCAGAGTACATGTTCAGTACTGAGGCAGGTACCTCATATTTCACTGCGTAGGATTTAAAACTTGAAACCTTATCATTACAAACACAAAGTTCCAGAACAACTCGTTCAGCTCTTATTTTTTCTCCACTGTACGACGTCTGTTCGCAGGTCCATCGCTTGACGACAGGCAGCTCTAACGCACTACAACGTTCTTCAGTACTGACTCGTTTTCCCAGAGGGAAATCATATAATGATCTATCCATCATAATGTAGCTGCTATATATAACGGAATGTTTCACCCAATGCAGTTTTCTCTTCACCTCTTCACAGCTAATTTACAAATATAAACTTTTACATATAATACTTATTAATAGAACCACAACGCGTATGAACGGCATATATTAACACCATCTGCTCTTGAACCTTCAACTCCGTTCGCTTCCAAAACTTCAATGCCTTTTACAAGTTTCCCACCAAATCTCCTATTTTAAAGTTACTTTTACATAATGCAAAGGTTGAGTAACAATTGTAGTGCCATCTATGAGGAGTGTTTGCAAGACGATTTCAGGTTGACCGAGAGTGACGGTGGAACTTAGCGATCCATGATCTCCATGATAGTGTCCTACAGTTACAGAGATCCATGATCTACTATGTGGCCTTAATGACCAAAGCGTTCTTAGTATTTTAAACCAATTTTAGGCTGGTATCTTGTACTGGCCTACTCTTTGACACTAGAGAAGTACGCGATATGTTTGGATTTTATGGGGTGAAATGGCACCATGTCCCAGGAAAATTTCACTTGGGAACAAATATCGTAGTTGAAACCGTTAATGATCCGTGCTGCGTATCGTCCTTCCGGATGTGACGAAGTACGTATCAGTCATGAAAAGAACGGTCAAGAATGTTCGTAGGGTTGGTAGATAATGTATGCGTTGGTAATGTGTTTCCTTTTCCGGATAGTGTGTTGTGTGCGAGGCAAGGTATTGATAATAGTAGGTGGATATTTTGTGAATGCTAAAAGTTAATAGAAAATTATACTTCAGTTAATATTTACTTGCCATATTCCTTTGTTGTGAATACAGTGTAACTATCGGAGGTTTGATCTCGGAAAATGATAATTGATGAGGACAGCAGTGCGGCTGATTAGTTGACCTCGCCGGATACACATGTAAAGCTTTCGAAAGGAAGTTAATGGAATAGGTTTAATGACCAAATCCTGTATTTGTGTTGTAGGGTAAACATTAATATGGCGGAAGTCGAAACATACGAGGAAGAGGTTTTACCAGTTGAATCTGAGGCCACGTTGGCTGTAGCACAACCTGCAGAGTTACCGGAAATCAAGTTGTTCGGCCGTTGGAGCTGTGATGATGTGCAGGTGTCAGATATGTCCCTTCAGGTTGGTATCTTATAGCATGTATTTTGATGTATGCCGTACTTTGTAGATAACTGCAGGAATTTTTTTTTCCCAGTTCGTGTTTTATGCACTTATTCATTGTGCATATTCCGGCTGTGCTCCAGTGTATAGAAACCGATTTGAATTTCCTCTTTTTGTAATCTTTAAAAATTTGATTAGGAGGTGCTAGGAAGGCCCAGAAACTTTACATACTGTCAAACGAATTAAAGGAGTGAAACGCTGGACATCCAGGCCTTCGTAATAAGTTTGCTTTATAAACCTGTCGCTGAATTCTTCAATATGCTCTGAGTGACTGAGCATACCGTTTTCCAACATCGCCATATCGTGCCACTACAGCCACGTTACCAGCCAGCACTTTTTGTATGCCACCAGTAAGAGATTCTTGGCTACCATGCAGGTTATCAAACTTGCTCTGAAGAAATTAAATACAGATCCCACTGCACTATTTACTGGCAAACATCTGAGTAACTATTAAGCAAGTTTATTAGTACAGCTGGAACTTGTTTGACATTCATAGTTACCACTAAGATGAGGAAATGTATAAAACTCTCTTCTGTTAGCAGGCAACTAAACTTCCAACTGAATTTATTTTTGCCATCTTGAACAATCCTGAAAGGTTTTACAACACATTTAAATTACCTACAAATAATATATTACTAGCTCTGTCAGTGTCTGAGTCGGCAGGATGAGTATTGGGTCATTTCCGGGGTAGCATGCTAGAATTTGCTTCGTGAAGCCAGCCAACAAGAACAAGCTATGAACGGAGGTGGGAGTCATAGTGAGGTAAAGATGTGCTTGTCCGTAACTACTTAAGCACTACACCATGAAGGCGTATGCGGGAGTGGTTGTATAGATCCATGTTTTCTTGACCTGTGCATTAGTCAGAGGTGATTGGTCAGCTTCACGCCCCTGCTGCCTTACCCCTAGGGAAAGCCCCTATTACCCATTGAATAGGAGGTTAGGTGGGCCCAAGAGTTGGTCTGGACAAGTGGAAAAGAGAAAATTCTTGACTCCTGGGACTCAAACTCCGACTCCTTGGGTGTCCAGCCTGTAGCCAGTCGCTATACTGATTACACTACCCTAGATCTGAAGGTAGCAGATAATACTGATCCAAATTTTTTGGGGGCTACAATATTTGTATGGCTGTTATGTTTTCAAGAAGTGCACATCCCAGGTATGGCGCTGCTTGCCATTCTGACCTGTATATTATTATTGTTGCAGGATTACATTGCAGTGAAGGAGAAGAATGCAAAGTACCTGCCACATTCTGCGGGCCGATATGCCGCCAAACGGTTCCGTAAGGCACAGTGTCCCATCGTTGAACGACTCACAAATTCATTGATGATGCATGGTCGCAACAATGGAAAGAAACTTATGGCTGTTCGCATTGTAAAACATGCCTTTGAAATCATTCACTTACTGACAGGAGAGGTGAGTATGTTAATAAGCTTGCCACCACCCGCTTTCACACTGGTATTTTGCTTGGCTTATTTGACCCTGAAGATGAATGGAGGTGATGTGTTCCTTCAAAACATCAGTCGCCTTTCAGCAGACTCAACAGCATTATGTCCCAGAAGACATAACTCTTCATAACCACTGCTGTGAGGACCCCAAATCCTGCAATATAAATAGAGGTTTACAAAATTTGTCTTCTTTGGGCTCTTGCCTTTGAGTTTAACTACTTCAGGTTTTTGTGCTTCAGTTGAAAATTATAGGAAATTGCATCGCAAATAACACAGAAGAATAAAAACTATTGCTTACTGGAATATTATTATGAGTAGGTTATTTTCGGTTATCATTTGCCTGTGTTTGGCCCACAAGGAAGGCTGTGAAGGTGTGTACGCTTGGGTCGGACACTGATGTCAAAGTGCAGGTGGTGCAATGGTTCCAGCAACAGGCCTAGGGAGTTCTTTTTGGAGGGGATCTGTCGGATGGTGTGCCATTGCGATGCCTTCCATACCGCTCATAGGGACTATATTTAATGGTGTCTACCCCTTTGTCCAGGGAGCACGCGGTACCGTAGTTGGTTTAGCCACTATGCTATAAGCCGGAAGGACGTGGTTTCGATCCCCCGATGAGGTCACTGAATTCCTCGATTGACCTAATCCTTCCAGTCATGTTTTGGCGCTGGGGTCAACTCAGCCTCTAACAGAAATGAATACCAGGAATCTTCCTGGGGGAAAGGGTGGCCAGCGCATACAGCTGACAACCTCACCACCATCTGTGAGCCGATTGTCTAGATGTTGTGGGAGCTTTGATGTAACACAGCCCTATGGGCCTTCACTTACCCCTTTGTCCAGAACAATCTTTGACTGGCTTTCATTTAAAGAAACCTCATTCATATGACTAGCAGAATTTCATTGCTTTTGTGTTTGAACTGAACCCTGGAGGTTTTGCTTGTTAAGAGCAGAAGGGGGACCTAGTGCATAGGACTGCACAGCCATTGTCTGAACAGCAGCAAATGTGAAAGGAAGGTGCTCTTATTGGAACATTTAAATGTGTTTGGCATGCAGTGTTTGTTTATTAATTTTACATGGAAGTTTTTAAAAAGACAGCTTACATTAAGTAATATTACTGAATAATTACTAATGAGAGTTATACAGGAATATGATAGCAGCCTTTATAGATTTCAAGATGTTTTCTAACAGTTGCATTTGCAGTGGACTTTTGTTTATTACATCATGTATAATTATGTGAGATGATTCAAGCAGTTCACAAAATATTTATGAAAATAGATCGTTGTATAAGCCAGAAGGTTGCGGGTTCAAGTCCTGTCGAGGTCATTGGATTTTTTTTCAATTGANTTCACTTACCCCTTTGTCCAGAACAATCTTTGACTGGCTTTCATTTGAAGAAACCGCATTCATGTCACTAGCAAAATTTCATTGCTTTTGTGTTTGAACTGAACCTTGGAGGTTTTGCTTGTTAAGAGCAGAAGGGGGACCTAGTGCATAGAACATCTTAATAAGTATAATATCCTAAGTAGTGAACAATATGGATTTAGGAAAGGATTAAAAACAGATAATGCAATTTACAAATTGACNTGGCATGCAGTGTTTGTTTATTAATTTTACATGGAAGTTTTTAAAAAGACAGCTTACATTAAGTAATATTACTGAATAATTACTAATGAGAGTTATACAGGAATATGATAGCAGCCTTTATAGATTTCAAGATGTTTTCTAACAGTTGCATTTGCAGTGGACTTTTGTTTATTACATCATGTATAATTATGTGAGATGATTCAAGCAGTTCACAAAATATTTATGAAAATAGATCGTTGTATAAGCCAGAAGGTTGCGGGTTCAAGTCCTGTCGAGGTCATTGGATTTTTTTTCAGTTGACCTAATACTTCCAGCTGCCTTATGGCCCTGGGGTCGACTCAGCCCTTAACAGAAATGAGTACCAGGAATTAATTAAATTTTTTTCCTGGGGAGTAAAGCGTGGCTGGTGCGTGAGGCTGACCTTACCACCATCTGTGAGCCAACTGTCTAGATAATGTGCGACCCTCAGCGTCTCACAACCCTATGGGCCTTCACGGTCTGGTACAGGGATAGCTTTACTTACTTTACTTACATGTATCTTATATTAAAACAGTGCTGTAAAAATTAAGTTAGACATTGTGCGCTGGCACAGCACTTTTAAAGCAAGTAACTTCTTGTAAGTCTGCCCACCCTTCACTCTGCTATTAGCGTGGTGGGGATATCACGCTAGCGTGATGCACAGATATTAGTTTTGCATTCAGACTCTGAGTATTGCTTTCACACTTCTGAACAGTGTATCAGCAGCTGAAATTTTTGTACTGTTGTAAGATTTGAGGTTCCCACAGTCGTGGTTCTGAAGATTTCTGTCGTCTGGAATATAATGCTGTGATAGTTTGTTGAAAGTCAGATGATGTTTCAGAAGAATATGCAACCTCCATCTTCAGGGTAAAAGAATAAGCCAAGCAGGAAACCAGTATGATGAAAGCATGTGTCAATATTGCTTGGCTTGTCCTTTGACACTGATGATGGAGGCCATGTGTTCCTCTAGATCATCAGTTGGCTTTCACTGGAGTGCACAGCGTTATATTCCAGAAGATAGAACTGTTTGTGTACAGTCGTTTCTAGATGGGCTGTATATATTAGTGAAGTATCCAGTGAGGTTTTGTCTTCACCAATTGGACTGTTACTTTGTGAGGTCATGAAATATGTATCATAACCCTTTAAGATGTGTTCATCTTAAAAATACGTATTCATTTCTTTCCTCACATAAAAAAAACATTGTGTGTTGAAATATCAAATGGTGGTCATTGCCCCAAGGGACACCGTATGGGAATTTCCTGCCAATATGTTTCAACCATGGTTTTGGCAGCTATATCAACTTTGGTAGACTTGCATAGCGGCCAACGGCAACTATTTTGAGGGCCGATGGGTATCCGTGTAAGTGTATGTAAATACCTTGTAATGTGATGCAATAAAACCACATTCCGCAAACTTAATGACTCTGCCATGTATCTCCTCTCTGTAGTGTCCAGACCAGCTGTGGGGGCTGATGCAACCTCCTGTTCAATTTGCACTCAAGGACCTTTTCCCAATAGTTGGGTGGCTGGGGCGTGAAGCTGATCACTCACTCCATCTGATGCCAAAGTCAAGAGTGGTGGAGCTATACCTCCAGTCCCCCTTGTATGTTATAGCTGTCACAGTGCATAATGGATCAAATGTTGCGAAAACCTTAAACTGAGGTTCTGCCACTTCTGTTTCAAGTGTTTGTAATACTGACCCTGGTTCTTTTGACTTTTCCCAGAACCCTGAACGGTGTCATAACACCTTTCTGCTCCATCCTTTTCAGATTCACTGTAAAAATGAGTAAACATCGTTTTGCCTCATTCTTACCAAGCATCCGTGCAGTTGATAACAATTTTTGTAAAGTAACTTACCGAGTGATGGATGGTATTGCATTCTTATGAACAACCGGTGCTACCGGCAGTGTGAGATTGACGCAGAAGGTTCTACAGTCTCAGATTGTGGTGCGTGCTACTCTGTTTTCAGAATCCATTGCAAGTTTTGGTGTCCGCAATTATCAACTCTGGACCCAGGGAAGACTCGACACGCATCGGTCGTGCCGGTACTGTCAGGCGACAGGCTGTGGATGTGTCACCACTGCGACGAGTTAATCAGGTCAGTATCGTTCTTGAAACTTGATTTTCATAAAGACGAACGAGAGAAAGGAGGTGTGACAAGTTGGCAGTGTGTGAACTGTCCAAGAGGAACGGCGTGGCTGGGTCTGTCAGGACAAAAATATGTTTGTTTGTTGCAGTGTCTACTGCAGTATGTGGGGGTTAATTTGGAAACATTTTTGTTATGTACGTGAGCATCATCTCTAACCCAAGCTCCATTTTTTGTTGCTACTGGAAATGGTTATTCAAGATTCAGATCTCTGTAACTGAAAGTTCCTTTATGTGTTAACAATTTTTAATTGCAAATTGTAACCCTTTTTTCCCTGCAGTATATTGAAAAGTCAAGGAAGTTAATGGAGTTGTGTAAATTAATTTTCTGTAGTGAATTTTATGATGGGTTGTTGTACGTTGAATTCAGTCAGGGTTTCCTCTATTTTTTCTTTGATCGTAGATTGTAAGGATGTCATCTGCATTTCTAAAGTATCCGATGATTTTATGTTTTATTAATATTGGGTATATTTGTTTGTGTTGCATGTTTTTAATATATGCTTCAGTGTTAAATAAATAACAGGAAGAGAGATGAAGAGGCATCAGAATTGGAACAATTTTATGCCCTTCTAGGCCATCTGGTTGCTGTGCACTGGTGCTCGAGAAGCGGCCTTCAGAAACATCAAAACGATTGCAGAATGCGTGGCAGATGAACTCATCAATGCTGCTAAGGTCTGTACTTTTTCTTGAGACTTCCCTGGTGTTGATATTGGCTGCAGTCTCACCTGGAACATATCAGTGTAAAATAATAACAAATATCAGTTGCTGGAAGTGCGCCATATTGCAGAATTGCTGCGTATGAAATGAAATGAGTTTACAATGAATGTTTCTACAAGGAGAACATTCATTTCTGATAGAGGCATAAATATCCATCATTAATCCTTATTATTTATTACATATGAAATGTATTTTTGTTTCTCTTGCAGGGATCGTCAAATTCATATGCAATTAAGAAGAAGGATGAATTGGAACGTGTTGCCAAGTCCAACCGTTAATAGCTTTTTCATTATGTTGCTATTAAGGTGTCAATAAAGTATAACACAAACTGTGTATTACCTCATTTGAAGGAAAATTGTATTACTCTTACTGCTTTAGAAGTTCTGTTTTCAAACTAAAATTTGAAAGCTTACCTCTTTCCTTTGTTACAGTATAATTTTGGATCCCTTGGACTAACTCCTTGGAGCTGTATCCTTGAGAAGCCAACAGTTGCTCAGTCACTCAGAAAATTCCCAACAATTAATGAAACCTGAAGGTACATTACTGTGTTCACGAGAGCCTTTCACTGATTGCGTCACCTGAGGCAGATAAATCCAATCCACAGCGCCCTCTCCATCCTGTTTCTCCAAGATCTCTTTCAGTGCCCTCCAGTCTAGGCCTTCCAATTGGTAACCTCATGCTTCCCTTTTCATGCATGCATGCTACATGCCCTGCCCACTGCATTATCCATGACTTGATCAGTCTGATGAAATTTGGTGAGGGGTACAAGTTATGAAGCTACTCACTGTGCAGTTTCCTGTAGCCCCCTGTTCTTTGGTCCAAATATTTTACTCAGCACCGAGTTCTCAGACATCCTCAGTATATGCTCTTTAATGTGAGAGAACAGGGTTCATGCCAGTACAGAACCACTAGCGTAGTTGGTTGAGGCACTATGCTACAAGCCGGAAGGTCGTGTGTCCGAGTCTGGATGAGATCATTGGTTATTTCAATTTACCTAATCCTTCCAGCTGCACTATGGCCCTGGGGTTGACTCAGCCTATAACAGAAATGAGTACCAGGAATTTTCCCTGGTTGGTAAAGGGTGGCAGTTGCGTAAGACTAACAACCTGACTGCCTTCTGTGAGCCGATTGTGTAGATAATGTGGGATCCTTGACGACTCGCAACCCAGTAGGCCTTTGTGGCCTGTTGTAAGGACACCTTTACCTTTACCGAACCACAGGCAAAATTGTAGTTGTATGTATTTTTATACAGCAGGCAAGAAGACAGAAGTTTCTGGACTGAACAGTAGGAAGCATTGCCTCAATTTTAACTGCTCTAAATTTTCTCAGCCCTCTTGCTAACATAATTTGGAGCTTATTTTTTTCTTGGTCTTTATGTTACCTCCCAGTAGATTCACATCAACATAGACCAGCAGCTGATGTGCCCCATTTAATTTCAGTCCCACCTTTTGGACCTTCCTAATGGCATATTTTTAAGCAAAGTTGAAAAGCAATGGCAATGAAGCATCTCCTTGCTTTAGACCATTGTGAATAGGAAACATATGAGGCAAATGTTTACCTGTATGAACTTTGCTATAGGCTAATAAAAACTTTAGTAAACTGAAGTACTTTATTGGGTACCCCAAACCCTATAAGAATATTGTATAGTATGTCCCTCCTAACTGAACCTTAGGCTTTCTTGAAGTCAGAATATCTGATATACTAACTCATTGAACTCCCAATTCTTTTTTCTGTTATTAGAGACGTAAGAAGTCTGATCACTAAATGTCTAAACCCACGCTGATTCCCAATAATTTCATCCACAAATGAACTTAATCTGAAGTATAAAATTTTGTATGAAGTTGGTAAGAGTGGTATGCGTCAATAATTACTACAGTCTGTTTCATCACTGTTCTAAGTTGTTATAGTAACAGGCTCCTTCCATTGCAGAAGTAATTTTCCCTTGTTCCAGAGAGAATTAAGGAGTTTAAGGGTCTCAAAACACAATGTTCATCCGCTACTTGAATCGATATGAAGGTTGTTAAGATGAAACCCACTCAGTGTTGCTGTTCAGTATGGGTAGATGTCCAGGATATGCGGTGCTGCATACGTTGGGAGCGACTGGACTGTCCACTGTGCATCCAGTAGACATGTCACCTCCTCAAGAGAGCTACATTGGAGTTGGATGAAGACAGCGAGCATGTGGCGGTGCCATGGTTCCAGCAGCAGCCTAGCGAGTTCTGTGCAGATATGTCATTTGGTGTGCCTGCCTCAGCAGCCCTCTCCTTCAACCAGAACAGTCACTGAGTGGGTTTCATGTGAACAAACCTTGTTTATATATTGTGCATAGTTATATTGATACTTGGTCCTTGAAAGCTTTGTACATGATCTGTTCACTTGTCTGTAAATACAGGGAGTCCCATATAGCCCACCTTGATATGTGTGTATTACGCGTTAAAGTGAAGTTCAACTGACTGCACTACTAATGCACAAACCCTGTATTGAACCCAGTCTCTGTAATGGTGGATCTCTCCAAAATTACCCATCATCTTACAAGTCACTGCTTTCTAAAGATTTTTCACAAAAATTCTGTATGGATTTCTTGTTTCCTCATAAGCTGTGTGCAGTATTTGAGCCTTTCAGTTTGTTACTGTAACAGTGTAAATTGCTGCTTATAGTATTGCATCACAGCTTCAAACTTCAAACTTCCGCTCGACTTCCTTATTCTAACCAGGTCAGAGAGTGCCAGAGTGAAGAGATAATGTGTTGCGTGGTACAATAAGCAAAGTCCTCAGGGTAGTATGCTGTAATATGCCCCCAACAACTCTTGTTACAAACATTTGTCAGAGGTTGTTCCTGATGTTTTGTGGACAAGAAGTCATTTTCAGTTTTGATGAGTTCGCTAAAAGGACGTTTCCATCGCTACAGATTATACCTCCATGTCTGTTAATGTCCACAGACATTTGAACGCAATGGCATCCCTGGTCAGTCTTCATGAGGTGCCTATTACATTGTTACATTTGCATGTGCACAGTTCAGTTGGGTGGGCATTGCATTAGTGGTGCAGACTTGAATTGCAACTGTCAGCTCCTAAAGAAGCATCCAAAATTAATAGGCTTTACATATCAAGATGTGTGCATTGGGTGATTATCATGAATTTGCAGTATTACTTTTGCATTGATTTCTGTTAAGTTATATTTTGAAGGGTGATATTACTGTATTGTGGTAATAGATTAACTAGTTTGAATAAAATGTTGATTTTTGGTGTTGGTATAATGATTTGTGCTGCAAAGGGCAACTGTCTCTTGTCAGTTTGCAAAGAACAGTCTGACCTTGCAGCAGCAGTAGGCTGTGTGGGGGTCTTGTGTGACTAAAATTTTCAGGAGCATCGTTGTTTGGTATACCTGTCTCCTTAGCCCCAGAGTGCTTCATTTTAAGGAAGTTTGGCTGCCTCAGACCTCATCATAGACTGAATCCTGATAATAAACATAGGAACAAATTCATAAGCCGGCATTATCCGAATTTCGTTTTATTATTGGTTTGTTATTCTTCCAGACTTTACTGAGCCAGTTTCACTCTGTGACTGAACTGATCTCTCACCTGTAGCTAGTGACACGATTTTAAGAAGTATGAAGCATTACATGGGCTTCTGCTAGCCGCTGTGTTGTAATTATGTTAACAGCTGCGTGGTAGTGGGACTAATATTAGGCGGTTTCTGTGTTGTCCTGAACTATTTTAAAAAGTAAGACACACGTAAGTCTGTGGTTATGTAATCACCTGAATCCATACTAAGCATTAATTCTGAAGTTTCCATTAGATAAATTTGTGCACTTGTGAAATTAATTTTTAAGTTTTATGGTTAATATGGCCCAATATTCATTACATTAGCCACTTAAATTTAGTTTGAGTTTGTATGGGGGGAAGTATAACCTCTGCAGAAAAATAATAGAATACAGATGTGCTTAAAAAGAGTTGAGAAAAACAAGAATATGATAGTGGCGCTGGTACATTTCAATAATTTTTGTATGAATATAACATTACAGGTAAAAGTAAAGCTAATGTGATTATCTTCGCAACGATAACTCGAAAGTTTTAAGCGCGTTCTGAAAAGTCGAATAGAATTTCTATTGACACAAACCAGTTTTGTTATCAGGAATTAAGTTGGTAATCTGCAGAGATCATGGTGAATGTAAGTGGATTTGCGCGATGTTTACTTTGTGTATTGGGATAATAGTGAAAAATATTTTATTGAGAACCATATCCTGATAGGTCAAAATAAGACAATTCAGTGGGAACGAATGTTCCTAGCCTAAGATTGTGTGTTCCCAAGTAACCTGCATATTCGTGCAAGCACTAGATTTTTGGATGATTGTGTACAAAATAATGAAAGACTAACACTTGTTGGTGCCGATGTTAACTATAGCATCAAATGGGGTTAGGTAGAGACCTTTGTATCAGTATTTTCTGTTAGAAAGCCACCTACAAAGTTTTATAATCGCAACGTAATTCAACAGACTTCGTTATTGGTTGACAGGAAACTCGCAGTTGTAGTTCGATCGATGTCGATTCTTTCCGGTTTTGCAGCCCGCGTTGCAAACATTTGTGAATGAGTGAGTGATAACAATATTGAAAATATTAAAACTGTGAAACCCGTAAATAGCTTGCTTCTTCGCCAACCATATCGCACATCAGAGATTAAGTGGGAGGAACATTCGGCACTTTTCGATAAGGTAAGAATGACAAATATCTGCTCTATTGAGAGTACTAAAATTCAATACATCGTCGTCAGGCAGAGGATGGGTCGTTGTGTTTTCATTCAAGAACAACATCCGAGATGCAATTCCATTAAAATGATATAAAAGTAAACACTTTCATAGATGTTTGTGTTTCAACCTCACAACTCTTTGTAGAGAGTAGTGTTGAATCTTTCGATGGAAGGGTGTGTAATATTCGCAGCGAATTATGTAGGTGGGTTGTGGATTTCTGCGTAGATTATTTAACTACACTATATCAGCTGCAGAGGTGACTTATTCTGGATTATGAAGTTCCTTCGTCAGTACAGAGGAGACTGATGAATTATTGGTTGGTACTGCAGAAAAATCAGGATGTTTTATCTTTACATTGTGGGTTGCATCTTGTTGCGTGTCATATAATAGCGTTTTATGGGACAGCCTACACAACAGTTGTACGTATCAACGAACAAAAATATAGTAACGTACCAGAATTCGTTTATTTGGCAAAGGCGTCGCTACATGTTTCGACTCTTAAAAGGCCATCATCAGGCGAGTCTACAGAAATGTGATCTTTGTCATTGAATTGTTTTCTTAATATGAATCCATATTAACACAATATGTTACCATTTGC